GGGGAGAGACACAGGGAAGGGGGAGGAAGAGGGGAGAGACACAGGGAAAGGAGGGAGGGAGAGGGGAGAGACACAGGGAAAGGGGAGAGGGGAGAGACACAGGGAAAGGGGGAGGGAGAGGGGAGAGACACAGGGAAGGGGGAGGAAGAGGGGAGAGACACAGGGAAAGGAGGGAGGGAGAGACACAGGAAAAGGGGGAGGCAGAGAGATGGGGAGAGACACAGGGAAAGGGGGGAGGAAGAGGGAAAGGGGGAGGGAGAGAGATGGGGAGAGACACAGGGAGAGAGATGGGGAGAGACAAGGAAGGGAGGGGAGAGATGGGTTGGAGGGAGAGAGACACAGGGAAAGGGGGGATGGGGAGGAGGGAGAGACACAGGGAAAGGGGGCAGAGGGGGAAGAGAGAGACAAAGAGGGAGAAATTAGAGAGACACACAAGGGGAGGGGAAGAAAGAGGCAGAGAGGGAAGAGAGACTGGGAAGGAGAGGGGAGACATTGACACAGAGGAGCAGTGAGGGGGAGAAAGAGAGGACCCGGGGCAACGCTCCGGCTCTCACGAGGGTGAACTCTAGCCCTGGAGCTATGGGCTAGAGTTCACTCTCACCACTTCCTGGTGGTCGCAGTAGTAGGAGTGAACTCTAGCCCCATACACACACTGCCCCCACACACACACACCATACACATTCACACACTGTCCCCACACACACACACACCATACACATTCACACACTGCCCCCCACACCCACACACTGAACCTTTCACACACGTTGCACCCCTCACACATTGCACCACTGCTCCTATACCCTACTACAGCCCCATATCCCAGCAGACTCCAGGTAAGTTGTCAAACTGTTCTTAAACGGTTTGACTACTTACTCTGGGAGGGGGTGCTGACACTCCTGGCACCATAACCACTACACAGAGGAGTAGTGGTTATTGTGCATGGAATATTTCTTTAAATAATCTACAAGTGCCCTTTCCGGGCTCAGGCTCTGGATCCGTCACTGGTATATGACATGTATATTAATGTGTATATAAAAGTTTTTTTGTTTTTTTTATATATATAGATATATATATATATATTATATTTACACATATTATATTTACACATATTAATGTACATTTATATATGCATAATACACAGAGAAATTTCAGTAATATGTACCATATGTAATGAGCAGAGATTGGCCCAGTCTTGTTGCTAGGTGCATACTCCAGCACAATAACATATTTAAAGTGAAGAGCACACCCACAGGACTTCTAAATAAAAATTTTTTACAGTTGTGCCCTACATACATTCACCATTTCAGTTCCATTAACAAGCTTTCCTTAATATGTCAAGGTAGTTGGACTGAAACATTGATTACATGCAAAGGCACGTCTGCTTAAAATAGATCTGCACTTTTGTTTATTTTGAAGCCTATGAGTGCGCTTTTTACGTTGAAGTACTTTTTAATTTTAAGTTATCTGTTCTAACTCTGTATCTGCACACTATGCTGGCGCGACGCATTATGGGGCTGGTAAATATTTTTTTTCCAGGGCTGCTTTTAATTCACAGTCCGGCCCTGTAAATAGCTGTGTTGTGTTCAACAAAGATTCAGAGAGCTATAACCACTGCTGGGAGCTATAATTAGGGCTGCCCTCTCCAGGGCAGTAGTATCCAGGAACCCTCAGTCCAGCTTCAGCTACTGGGTCTGAAGTGCTCCAGCATTCCCTGCTAGCAGGGAAGACGCTGTCCTAGCAGAGGTACTCAATTGGAGTATGGTATCTCCGTTACAATTGGTGGCAGCTGTGGAGGGATGCCTACAGAGCTGGGCCTGATGCACAGACTATAAAAAAGTTAAGAAAAGGTTACTGGCCCGCTACACCATCACCCCAGAGTTGAACAGAAAGTTTCGGGGGCCTCACAAAGCAGCTGGACTGTCTTATGCTGAATGGGACCATCAGATGCAGCGGGCCACATACAATTGGATGTAGGGTTATAAGGTAACCATACTGGGCGATGCAATCCTGCTGATCCTCCTGGAATAATAATAATGATTATGCACCCCCGGCAGTTAGGAACTGGGTATGACATCCGGGACTTCCGTCCTCTGACTGTGGAGCAGGCCGCCGTTCTTGCAGATGATTAACAGGATACACAGCAGACAGACTTGTTTGACACCATACCTCCTCGAGACCAGTGGTGCCCCCTCCAGGACCACTCCACTTAGGCACCTCCCAGCCAGTGCTTCCCGAAATTCTGTGCTCACCTGCTATGCATGTGGCCACCCAAGGCAAGTATCAATCAAGTGTCCCCAGGCCAGAAACCGGCCCTTTTGGAGGCAGAAAAAAAAAGGCAGTAAAAACGCTTATTACCACTACACTTGGTACAAGCTAGCAGAAAAATGATCCGACGCTAAGGTTTAAAATATGCCTTTTGAAATACCCTTGGATGTCTTCTTTAAGAAATGGAATGCCTTTATGGGGTAGTTGGATTATATAGTCTGCTAAAATACTCTAAAATGGGACATGGACACAGCATAAAAATTCAAAGTTTGAAAAAAACTGTAATGACTGTGTCTCAAATGTGCCCCTTCCATGTCCACATGTACCTGGCAAACGTACATATGGGGGTATTGCTGTACTCAGACGACATAGCTGTGCAACATATGTAGTATTATCCAGTTGTAGCACGCATAAGGTTTGCAAAATATACTGTGCAAACTCAATTTGTGTGTCAAAAAGGTAGACAAAAAAAGCTTATTACCACTACACTTGGTACAAGCTAGCGGAAAAATGATCCCACGTTAAGGTTCAAAATATGTCTTTTGAAATACCCTGGGATGTCTTCTTTAAAAAATGGTATGCTTTTATGGTGTAGTTGGATTATATAGCCTGCTAAAATACTCTAAAATAGGACATGGACACAGCATAAAAATTCAAAGTTTGAAAAAAAAACTGTAATGACTGTGTCTCAAATGTGCCCCTTCCATGTCAACATATACCTGGCGAAGGTACATATGGGGGTATTGCTGTACTCAGCCCACATAGCTGAGCAATATATAAGGTATTATACAGTCGTAGCAAATATACGATTTGCAAAATATACTGTTCAAACTCACTTTGTGTGTCAAAAAGGCAGAAACAACGCTTATTACCACTACATTTGGTACAAGCTAGCCCACACTAAGGTTCAAAATATGACTTTTGAAATACCCTGGGATATCTTATTTAAGAAATGGTATGCCTTTATGGTGTAGTTGTAATATGTAGCCTGCTCAAGTGTTCCAAAGTGGGACACGGACGCATCAAAACCCTCCATGAAAATTCACACTTAAAAACCTGAACTTGTCACGTCTCTTTTACAGCACTGTAACTTCACAAAATAGTGTCTAGATCATACATTGGGCATATTGTATTACTCAGAAGATGTAACTGAGCAAAATTTGGGGATTTTTTTTATTTTAAATTCTTTATTTTTCTTGTGCATATAAAGACAGTGAAACATTTTGTCTTGCGATGCCACAACAGCATTAGCAAGCCGATTAGGAACATTGTATTAGACATGGCATGCGATTTGATAGCACATTTTTATATTAACATCATGTTCGAGCTGGAACGATTATTGCAAGATAAGATATTCAAGTTTAAACTAAAGGGTCGATTAGGGTACGTTTAAGACAGGCACACATTTGTTTAGTAAAGTAGCTTGGATTTAAGTTGATTATGCGTGTTCTATGATTAAAGGTTGTGTGGTCAGTATTAGTTATTTTGATGTGTGCATCTGTGTGTAAGCGTTGGTATATTACATGCTGGTGCGTCGCGAGGGTAAATAAGGAGAGATATACATGTACAGAAAAAAGAAGAAGTTAACTGTTAGTGTTATAATACAAAGAGTACCCAAGGTTTTTAAAGTGTTCCCTTACAGACACTCAAATTACAATAGGAAAAAGAAAAAACCAAACAGGCACAGGATAATGTGAATCACCAAAGTGATAATAAAAATAAATTAATACAAACTGGATTATGTTGATATACTCTGTTTCAGAGATACATCTATAGAGAGAAATAAAGATATATAGTGTAATATTATCAAAACCACACAGAGAATGAGGGTGGTAGAAAACTCTCAAAATTGAGATGAATTCAGGCATATCTCCCTCAATATTAGGGAACTAAAAAATTGTAGAAGACCTCCAGCGATGATTCTGGATATAAAGTGTCTTCTGATTCACTCCAAATAAAAGGGAGAAAAAATGATAGTGCAGATTGTATAAAAAAAAATAACAATTTATTACATGTATTGCACTTACAATGTTTCAGAATAAAAACAGCATATCTCCACACCAGCTGGTATCCACGTGTTGCAGCGGATCCAATCACAATACAGGATAACAGGCAGCACTAGCAGCAATCAAATAAAATAAAAGTTCACATGAACAGTAGAGCAGTTCCAACACGTTTCGTCCTCTTCTGGACTTCCTCAGGGATGTGTAGCTCTAATTAGGTTGAGTATCTACTTACATATCCACCATCGAATCAATAGATCGTTTGCCGGTGTTGGCGTGCGTTCCACCCTGGAACGCATTCTATTTCCGCATGACGTCACTTCTGGTATCGCGGACCAAATGAAAAAGCAGTATTTCCTAATCATTGCTGACAATAACAGCTGGGATGCTTTCAGTACAAGTTTACACGCTGAATAAACTTTGTGACAATATAACAACATTATATACTAGCAGCTGGGGTACCTCCAATAACAATAAGAACAACAAATAAACTTAATAACACTACATAGATGTACATTATAGGAATTGAGCATAGCAATATTAAAGATTGAACATTCAAAATTGAATGTACATTAAATATACATAAATTAAAGATTTAAAGATTAAGCATTCTAATATTGAATATATATTTTAAGTATATGAATATTAGTATTTTAAATATACAGATCTATCGATTTGTGTATATAAATTTGAAGAATTTAAAGAATTTGAAAAATTTAAAGAATTTGAAAATTTGAAGAATTTGAAAAATTGAAGAAATTTAGCAATTTGAAAAAACAATTAATTGTTATGATCAATCCCTTTACAAAGATATGTGGTACAGCATTAGATACATTAAACAAATATTTTTGTATATCCTTGTCCTTATTTTCGAGTATAAACTAAAGAATATTTCTGTAATTGAAGTGGACAAATATGAGCAAATATAAATTCTATGTGAAAATAAAATAAAATATGAAAAAATATATAAAAAATATGAAAAAATAAAATGAAAAAATATGAAATAAAATATATATATATAAAATAAAATAAGATAGAATGAAATAAAATAAATAGAAAAATAAAGATAATAATAAAATAAAAATAACTATAAATATAAATAAAAAATGAATATAAGAATTTAAATATAAATTAAAAGTTTTAGAACACAGTGCATCTAAACATTGTACTCATTGTCCACAATTTCAATGGAATACATTCATAGCAATTGGGATAGATAAAATAGAAAAACATTGGAGAGGAGGAAATATTGAATCTTCGTTAAATACTAAAGAAGCTCAACGGATTTTTAATTTAAAAACTTTAAAACTTGGTCTAAATCAAGAAATAGATTTAGTTGGACTTATTTGAGCTTCAAATTTTCAAATTCTTTAAATTTTTCAAATTCTTTAAATTCTTCAAATTCTTCAAATATTCAAATTTATATATACAAATCGATAGATCTGTATATTTAAAATACTAATATTCATATACTTAAAATATATTCAATATTAGAATGCTTAATCTTTAAATCTTTAATTTATGTATATTTAATGTACATTCAATTTTGAATGTTCAATCTTTAATATTGCTATGCTCAATTCCCATAATGTACATCTATGTAGTGTTATTAAGTTTATTTGTTGTTATTGTGTTATTTGAGGTATCCCAGCTGCTAGTATATAATGTTATGTTGTCACAAAGTTTATTCAGTCTATAAACTTGTACTGAAAGCATCCTAGTTGTTATTGCCGGCAATGATTAGGAAATACTGCTTTTTCATTTATACTGCAGGTATACAACATTACTTTTTGATTAGGGCAAGATAGAGAATAACCTGTAAGTTAGGTCTAGTTAGATCATTGTAGAGAAACTAGAGAGACTAGAGAAAGTGTCACCCTGGTTGATCGGAGGTTACCGTGCTGCCTCAGTAGGAAGGAGTCGGCACCATGGTGGGCTCAAGTAGCTGTGTGCGCGAGGTGGGAGCAGGTCTTTCCCTTGCTGTCTGTGCACATGGCGCCCGCCATTTTGGATGCGGCGGTTGGGCTCTCCGACCTCGATTGCGGTGTCGCGGACAGTGTGAGGACCAGGAACACCCCCACCGGTCCATAGGGGGGGGAACGGAGCCGGGTCCGTGCTGGTTTGTACCTCTGGCTTGGTTCTGTGGTGCAGGACAGTGGGGCAGCGGCCGTCAGCCCCACTCACCGCCGGGGAAGGCCCTGGTGGGGGCAATGTGGTTTTCTCCCCCAGGGGACAGAAGCTCGACGAGCCAGCCTCTCCCCGGTTCCAGCAGTCCCTTAGCGCTAGGTTCCTTCGCTGTCGGTCTGATTGTGGGTGGCAAGACATGTTTTTAGAAGGTATTCTTTAGTGAGTTACAGGAGCTGCTCTGACTTGCGACCGTCCAGCTCGGCGGTCCGGCCCCGCCCCATAAATATATACTTTTGTGTTGCAATTTTTTTTTCTGTGATGGCTACTAAACCTACAAGCCAAACATACCAACTTCTAAAAGTTTTGAAAATAGAAATTTCATTGAAGTCCTTGTATTTTGTGACCTGTAACTTTCACAATAAGCTGAACATATGATGTACTCCATAAATCAAGACACATAAATTAATTTATTTTGAATTACTTTTTCTAAGCTGGACATATTATGAACACGCTATTATTGCCAAAACTGCAAAAAAAAAAGAATGTATTTGTAGTTTTTCTTTCTTTTTTTGGGAATTTTTTTTATAATTAATGAGAATGTATCTACATATATATGATATCAAATTAAAGCCCTGTTTGCCCTCTAATAAACGATATATAATATGTGTTGGTGCAATAAATGACAGAGATGCAAATTGCATTTGAACACAAACAGCAAAAAATGCAAAAATGTCTTGTGTCCTTAAGCGTATGACAAGCTTCTGAAGCTGTGTCCTTAACCCCTTAAGGACACATGACATGTGTGACATGTCATGATTCCCTTTTATTCCAGAAGTTTAGTCCTTAAGGGGGTTAAAAGATTGGGCTTGTCACATTCCAAATATAATACAAATGAGGCTTAATTATTAAGCTGTGGGTAAGTATTAATGTTTCTTTTGGATATGATACTGGAACACAAGGGTCTTCATGAAACTAATGCCATTACCATATTAAAGCATTGAACTATCAGTTGAAAGTTTCAGGCCATATGATCAAAGTCAGTTAGTTTACATTGAAACTAGATATACAGGCAGCTCAAGTGTAACATATTTCACCTCGCAGTGCCTTTGATAGATCAAAAGGGCAGTCCTTTTCACACCTTGCAGAAACCCCTTTTGATCAAAAGAGCAATTTCTCTCTGCCATTTGTCCTCTACCCAAGTTATATTAAAGAGCAATATTCTATAGTGCAACCATGGATTATGTACAAAAGTTATAATAAATAGCAATATTCTATAGTGCAACCATGAATTATGTACCCTTATCTTTAATCTCCTCACCAGCCCGAGAGGTCTTACAGCAAGTCTGGCTCTGCATGGGCTGGCAGGGGAGATGAAAGCATCTCCCCTGCCGGCCTTGGTCCACAGCCATCAAGGCCTACTGGGCATTTTCAGCAGAACCCACCACCACCCTAACCCATGACCCTAAAACAAATCCAAACATCTGGCTTGTGCAGAGTGTTACACCACTGCACCAGACCACGGCAGCAAGAAATAAACCACAGGTATTACTGTACCAAAGAAATTATGAATATATCTAATCAGCAAGAAATGTCAGCCTTTTTTAGTTTCTGATCAACTGGCAGCAAGTTATTTTTCTGAAGTAAAATCTTTCACCCTCCAGATCCAGATCAGGCTTCCAGTAAAAAACAGAAATAGGCAACAATCCCTATCAGAATCTGATTTGTTATTAGGACTCCATCACAAATTGAGTCTTTTTTTTTTTTCAGTGAGGTGGACTCAGAATGTGAATTCAGTTCTCAGTGCCTTATGTGAATCACCAATTGACCCAGTTTCAGAGTGTTATTTTTTCATGCTCTCAATGAAAGTAGCCTTCCTGGTAGCCATCACGTCAGCCAAAAGGATAAGGGAAATTCTATCATCTTCCACCCTTTGTGATTTTGAATTAAACCAATATTTTGCCCCAAAGACATTAGGAATCCTCAAGAGATTTATCTTCCCATGTTTTGCAAAGGCCACTCATTGGATGTTAAGAGAATTTAGCAATTTTATTGGGAAAGAACAGGATATTTCAGAAAATTGGAACACGTTTTGATTACCTCCAGTGGTCCTAATAAAGGAAAAGAAGCATCTAAACAAACTTAGTAACAGTGGATAACCACAGCCACTCAGCCAGCATATTTGGCAGCAGGTAAAACTCCATAAATTTGGATTAAGGCTCATTCCACTAGTGCCATGGTGACTTAGTCGGCGGATATGCCACATGCTTTTGATATTATTGGTAAAGCAGCCGCGTGGGCCTTCTTGCATAATTTTTTCAAACATTATAGGCTAGACAATTTGGCTTCTTTGGACTTTGCTGTAGGGTGAAAGGTGTTACAAGCAGCCGCTATAAAGAAGCACTGTAGTGGACCTGGTCCTATGTAAATTTGGTTGCCCGTACTGCACTGTTCGTTCCCAGAAATTGTACCCCCATTTGTTTGTCGAACACTCTGTGTTCCCCTGGCTCCATACCTCCCCTCTACCGAACGTATCATCTCCCTAGCAGATGGCGGCCATTTTGTCTCCTGAACATTAACAGCGGTACTTAGCCCCAAACTTTGTGGAACTAGATTTGGCCACTTGACCACGCGGTTCACAGTCTATTGTCTCGCTGTTTTGCCCCACTTACAGACATACCATGAGAGTGCTGTGATCCTTGTCTGCAGTTAGCACGGTCCTTTTGGGTACAAACATGCACAGTCTTTAAAAGTAACTTAACTCCAAGCACTTTATTTGGAAGTCCACACAGGAGACAACAGCAAATGAAAACATAAATATAACACAAATCCCTATAAACAAAAACCTAGCTCTGTCTGAGCACTAACTAACATCAAGTTCCCTCTCTCTCAAGGGTTTAAACTATAACAGAACAAAAAGTGGTTTCACCAACCTAGTGCCTTTTGTCAGCTCTCAGCACTCCAGTGTTTAATCAGCCTGCTGCTTCCAGCCCTTCTAGAGAGAAACAAACATTCTCCTCTACCTGCCTAGCAGGGAGGGGTTTATTCCCACTGCTGCAGCTGATTACCTGTAGCTGAGCAGTGGGTTGGAGACAGTCCAAAGCCTGGTCTGGACTTAGTCTCCCAAGAAAAAACAATAAACAGTGGAGTGGAGCACTGGCCCACCCTGCTCTCCAAATGCTCCACCCCAGGAGCCCATAACTAAATATGCATTGGGGTTAAAGATCATATGCCTCTCTGAACAATGCAGATGAAATATAAACTCCCTCACAGACCACCCCATTCACCTTATTAAAACGCTAATTGGAGAGAAGGTGGTATGGATATGAGGAATAATCGCTCCCTTAGAGCCAGGGGGAGCACCTATTTATTTGACCACAGGAACTCTAGATATATCACCGGCCAAGACCACTTTTTGTCTAAACTTCACCCAGGGGAAATTGGACAATTCCTTATGGATCCGCGCGCTTTTTGGACAACTTGGGTGCTCGAACAGGGATGTATGACGTGGGTTTTCTGTGTGTTTTACCGTATTTTGGGGTGTTTTCTATTTTTGTCTCTCTGATAATTTACTTACCGATCCTTGACTCAATTATCTCCCAGACACAAACACTCCTGGGCAGGCTTACAATGTAACTGTATGGAGACCCTATGATGGGGGTCTGGCTATAAAAGACCTTGCCTCTGAATAAAAGTTGTTGTACTCCCAGAACTGTTTGTTGTCCAGTTATTGTGAGGAAAAGAGCTTTTCACTAATCAAAGCCTTGTTCCAGCTCGTGAAGGATTCAACGGAGAAAGTCCTTGTAAGGACTATAGCTCCACTACAAGCACCCTATTTGTTATTCTTATTATATCCCTCCTGTACTGCTGCGATACGACAGGGAAAAAAATGAAATTTTACTTACAATAAAAATTTTGTTCCTTGGTAGTAGTAGCAGTAGTCTATTTCCTCTCCCTATGTATTCATTAAATTTACATTTTTATATATAGTGGTATGTGTGATTCTTTGGTTTTATTGAAGAGGTCTGATAATAAACAAGGTTTTATTATGAAGGTGATGTTCAGGGTTTACATGATAATAATTTTTAATTAAGCAGTTTACCCATTCATGCAAGACTATAACCCTTCTGTACTGATGCTAAAACTCAGGAAAAAAAAAAGTCCATGATAAGTAACATTTCTGTTTTGCAGTGCAAGGTTTCACGCCCCTTTCCCAGGAAGGTGGCTACCAAACAATTGTTAGTCACCTACTTAGTGTGTTTACAGTTTAGGGGAGTCCATATCTCCTTAAGACAACATATCTCTCACACAATACTCCTCATTTGAAAGTGGGACATACATTTTCTCTTTCAAATGAGGGACTTATGCCAGGCTAAAAGAATTGCAATCACCTCTTTGCTACAAGACATTTTTGGTGCTCAGCGCCCTGTTATGGACGCCCTGTTGTAAGCTCTAGCTAGGTTAAATTCCCCTTTATGAAAGATGAAAGCAGGTCTGCCATCAGAAATGTTGGGGCCTCTTATGCAACTCAAGGTCTGGATCCCCGGGGGCATGCGTCCAAGCCTGCCCTCGGGACCCGCCTCCAAGTCCATCCACAAGGATGCAGTATGTGTAGAGTGGTAACAGGGTGTTTGTTATGAACGAAGTGTGTGTGTTTGTGTATTGGATGCAGTGTGTGTAACATGGATGCATTGTGTCTGTAATGTGGACATGGTGTGTGTTAGTGCATTGGTAGTGGATCTAGTATGTATGTGTGTGTAGTGGATGCAGTGTGTGTGTGTGTGTGTGTGTGTGTGAAGGGGATGCAGTGTGTGTATATTGTGTATATATAAATTTAAATTACATTATTTTTTTTTGTTGTGTAGATACTTGTAGTATCCCAAGTTGTACTGTTTTGGAAACTGAACTGAGATTAAATATGTATACATTATATTTATTAAATGACAGCCATGCTCTTATTTACAACATACAGTATGGAAAATAGCACATAAATGGTGTGGTTTTTTTTTTAGTTTGTTTTACATTTTGTAAAATGGATTTAAAAAAAAATATTTTAATTGTTCAGCAAACTAACTTTATATACTGAAAGTGCATGATATGCCCCCAAAGATTCACAATATGTGAGGGTAACAAACAAAAATGCACTGATATTGCTGTTTAATTACAGACAGTGTAAAAAACGTAATATCATATAATCCATAATAGAGACTATGTAACACAAAATCTGGTCCCTAATTCCATTATCACAGAGATCAGCATGCTTGAAAGCCAGGTATGTGATAGAATAAAGAAAATAAATAGGTCTGTTGCTGTTGCCCAGTCAATATTATGGATTCTATGACAGCCACTAAAGGTGTAGTACTGGGCAAATTTAACAATTGTCTGTTTTTGTAAATGGCAATGTGTTATTGGCCAATAAACAGGTAGGGTATGTGCATGGTATGTGCAACAAAACAACTTGAAGATGAGTAAATTATGGATTGTGTTTAAGTGTGGAGCCTTCTGCCCACCATTTATATTAAATATGCTGCAACTGCCTAATCCCAACCCTTACAATAACCCTCTCATTATATAATTTACAGAATTTCACCTATCAGCCCTCTTCCAACTGTTCGCAAGTTCCTACGAGACAGCAAACAACGGTAGCACGATACCTGCGTTGTCTCTATGCAATGCATCTATCCTACTATCCAGGAAAACGTGGTATTTCTGGCAATGAGAATCCTGATATTGTGGCTTCTTCAGACTTTAAGTGCTGAGTTTACCCTGAGTCAAGGTAAATACCGCATGAGAACTGGGAACCAGGTAACTGGGGAGAGTTCGTGAGATCCTGGGAGCTGTAGCCGGGAGAGTTTGTGAGATTCCGGGAATTGTGTATCTAATCCCTGGTAACAGTGGTTTCTATTCATTGTTAGGACTTTATTTGGCAGATAAGGCTTTGTTCAGGAAGAGCCTTGGGTACATGAATTGTCTGTGGTGTTGGCAACATGCAGGCAAATATGTCAGGGTTATTCACTAAAGTGAGAATTGTCAGAATTCAAAGTGAATTTCGAAGCACGGAACACCAAAAACCACCATAAGGTGTGGTAGTGGTTATGGTGTCAGGAGTGCCCTGATGTCCCACCCCATTGTCATTAGTTAAACCATTTTAGAACAGTTTGATGTATTACCTGCAACCTTCCCAGTGCCGGTCCTGCTTCCACATAGCAGCCAGGAGAGGCGGAAACGTCTGCTTAGGTGCATCCATTAATGTGAGCTCATTGGATAAGAGCATCTCAGCCAATGAGCAAGCCCTGCACAGCCAGGCTTAGCTCAAAGAGAACTTTCACTTCTAGCTATAGTTGAGATGGGAAGTCCGCAGGTAAGAATTAAAATTGTTCTAAAATGGTATGAATACTTATGGGGGCGATACCAGGGCATTTCTGGCCATCGTAACCACTGCAACATGGTGATTGAAATATTAACTTAAAGGGGTACTATAGGCACCAAAAACACTGTATCTTAATATATAGGTGTTCTGAGACATAAGGCCTGCCCTGCAGCCTCAGCAGTGTAAACACAGCCTAATGCCACCTCTGGTGAGCCATTACAGAGACTTCATGGGTTTGGTCCTGCAAAGATTGTTCTCCCTAGAGGTGCATTATTGACTCAGGTCATTACTATGAAGAGATGCTGATAGCCGCTGCACAGTGATTTTCACACACTAGTCTCCCAAAGCTTTCACATAGGGATTGGCCAAGATCATTTGGACTGATGAGCTCAGCCAGGGAGGTGGGGCGGCTGCTGCTAAATTGGGGCATGAGGGGAGGTGCGCCAGGGGAATAAAGTTGAGTAAAATGTGTGTGTGTGTGTATATATATATATATATATATATACAGTTGCAAGAAAAAGTATGTGAACCCTTTGGAATGATATGGATTTCTGCACAAATTGGTCATAAAATGTGATCTGATCATCATCTAAGTCACAACAATAGACAATCACAGTCTGCTTAAACTAATAACACACAAAGAATGAAATGTTGCCATGTTTTTATTGAACACACCATGTAAACATTCACAGTGCAGGTGGAAAAAGTATGTGAACCCTTGGATTTAATAACTGGTTGAACCTCCTTTGGCAGCAATAACTTCAACCAAACGTTTCCTGTAGTTGCAGATCAGACGTGCACAACGGTCAGGAGTAATTCTTGACCATTCCTCTTTACAGAACTGTTTCAGTCCAGCAATATTCTTGGGATGTCTGGTGTGAATCGCTTTCTTGAGGTCATGCCACAGCATCTCAATCGGGTTGAGGTCCTGGCCTGACACAGCAAAGCAGCCCCAAACCATGATGCCCCCACCACCATACTTCACAGTTGGGATGAGGTTTTGATGTTGGTGTGCTGTGCCTTTTTTTCGCCACACATAGTGTTGTGTGTTTCTTCCAAACAACTCAACTTTGGTTTCATCTGTCCACAGAATATTTTGCCAGTACTGCTGTGGAACATCCAGGTGCTCTTGTGCAAACTGTAAACGTGCAGCAATGTTTTGTTTGGACAGCAGTGGCTTCCTCTGTGGTATCCTCCCATGAAATCCATTCTTGTTTAGTGTTTTACGTATTGTAGATTCGCTAACAGGGATGTTAGCATTTGCCAGTGACTTTTGTAAGTCTTTAGCTGACACTCTAGGATTCTTCTTCACCTCATTGAGCAGTCTGCGCTGTGCTCTTGCAGTCATCTTTACAGGACGGCCACTCCTAGGGAGAGTAGCAGCAGTGCTGAACTTTCTCCATTTATAGACAATTTGTCTTACCGTGGACTGATGAACAGCAAGGCTTTTGGAGATACTTTTATAACCCTTTCCAGCTTTATGCAAGTCAACAATTCTTAATCGTAGGTCTTCTGAGAGCTCTTTTGTGTGAGGCATCATTCACATCAGGCAATGCTTCTTGTGAAAAGCAAACCTAGAACTGGTGTGTGTTTTTTATAGGGCAGGGCAGCTGTAACCAACACTTCCAATCTCATCTCATTGATTGGACTCCAGTTGGCTGACATCTCACTCCAATTAGCTCTTGGAGATGTCATTAGTCTAGGGGTTCACATACTTTTTCCACCTGCACTGTGAATGTTTACATGGTGTGTTCAATAAAAACATGGCAGCATTTCATTCTTTGTGTGTTATTAGTTTAAGCAGACTGTGATTGTCTATTGTTGTGACTTAGATGATGATCAGATCACATTTTATGACCAATTTGTGCAGAAATCCATATTATTCCAAAGGGTTCACATACTTTTTCTTGCAACTGTACCCTATTTTGAATACTTAGGTTGTCTACTTTTGCAAATGGTATGCCATGATGGGGTTCATTTTCATTCCTGGACTGCTATACAGTTTCAAATGCAGCCTAGGCCCAGCAAACCAATCTGGCAAATTTCAATGGAAAAGGGAAAAGTCCTATGGTTGACCCCTGTAAGCTTCCCAAACCCTATAGCACCTATACATGAGGAGGGGGTGGGGGAACTGATGTACTCGTGCGACATTGCTAAACACTAGGGATCGACCGATTATCGGTCTGGCCGATATTATCAGCCGATAATCGGTATTTTCAGCAATATCGGTATCGCCCAATAAAGATATCGATATTGCCGATAATATGTACCAGGACCGCCGGGCCCATGACAAACCCGGTGGTCCTGGAGGAGCCAGCAGCAAGCGCTTACTTACCTTCCCAGCAGCTCCCCAATGTAACTCTTGCAAGTCCCGTGGCCGTCAGAGTGTTGCCATGGGTTACTATGGCAATGCTCCGCACGGCACACAGGCCATGGGATTTACACAGGAGAGCTGAAGGGAGCTGTTGGGAAGGTAAATAAGTGCTTGCTGCTGGCCCTCAATGCACAGTCCATGCCACCGGACCACCAGGGAATGCTATATCCCCCCTCCCTGGCCAAGTAAGAAGCAGGGAGGGGGGACTAAAAAAAACACACACACACTGTATTCATTATATACACACACTACACAAACACACTGCATTCACTATACACACACTACACAAACACACACACTGCATTCACTATACACACACTGCACAAACACACACACTGCATTCATTATATACACACAACACAAACACACACACTGCATTCACGATACACACACTGCACAAACACACACACACTGCATTCATTATATACACACACTACACAAACACACTGCATTCACTATACACACCACACACTGCAATCACTTCACGCACACTTCATTCACTATACACATACTACACAAGCACACACTCTGCATTCATTATATACACACTACACAAACACTCACTGCACTTACTATACACATATTACACAAACACACTCTGCATCCATTATATACACACTACACAAACACACACTGCATCCACTACACACACTACACAAACACACACACAGCTCCCCTGTCTAAACACACTGCATCCACTACATGTGGCATGTATATTTTGTGCATTTACCTTTAGAAATAGTTTCTTTTTCAAAATGGTAAATGTACAGAATATCGGTAAATTATTGGCTATCGGCCTGGAAGTTAACAGATTATCGGTATCAGCTCTAAAAAAAAAAATCAATATCGGTCGATCCCTACTGAACACACATGTGTGTATTTTACTGCAATAAAAGCTATTAGTATTATGACAGTTAAAATGCCATGCAGATCTTGGTAAATAACAATATTTTTTAATTTCTCAAACCTTTTTAGATTGTATTAATATTAAATTATGTTTCATATATAAATATTTGATGTGAATTGAAAGCCCTGTTTCTCCTGAACAAAATGATATATAATAGGCAATGGTGCACTTAATATGAAAGAGGTAAATTATGGTTGAACAGACATGCAGTTCAAATTCCAGGTTTTGTATTGATCAGAGATTGTACAATTGTTTCCGTCCTTAAGTGGTTAAAAAAGAAGCCTTTTCCTGAGCAATTAATTAAAAGGATACTCCAGGCACCCAGACCACTTCTGTCCATTGGAGTGGTCTGGGTGCCAACCCCACTTTTATAAACTGCAATATTTACCTTGCAGAGTTAAGTCCTCCTCTAGTGGCTGTCTATCAGACAACCACTAGAGGGACTTCCGTGTTCTTAGCTACGCTATGTGAGGACCTCCAGCGTCACCGAAATCCCTGTAGGAAATCATTGAATAATGCTTTACGTTTACGTATTAACCCCTTCAGCAATTCGGAATGGGGGGTGGGAGAGAGAGGGGCACTCCAGGGTCCTGCAATGCCAGGAAAACAAATGTTTTCCTGGCACTGAAGAATACCTTTAATTGATTACAACTCTCTAGCTGCTTTGAAATGCATTTCTCAACACACAAACTTCTGCTACCTTTGTTTTTTGTTTTAAGAAAGCAGTTACAGAGTCCTTCCTTTTTTATGCTTGAATTCCGAAACAAATTAATTATCACATGGTAAGATTTTTGCAATTTGAGCAAGGTTGCTAGAGGGTGGAATCAATAATAAAGCCTCTCTCCATGCTTACAGGAGTGCAGCCATACAGTTTGATCTGTAACATTTGCTGTACTCCATTGGAGAAGGAAGAGCACCTTTTTGGGACACTCCCTCTGTGAAGATGATGTTGCTGATTTTTTTGGTCTTATATATATGGCAAAAAAAATAATTATAATATACCTGGAACAAAGGTGAAGTTCTTATGAAGTTAGAAAATTATTGTCTATGAGCTAACCTAATTTTGTGTACTTGTATACATAAGTTATATAGTTATCTATAGTGCTGCAGGTTTTGTGTAACCCTAAAGGGACACTATACTCACCCAGACCACTTCAGCTCAATGAAGTGGTCTGGGTGTCAGGTCCCTCAGGTTTTAACCCTTCAGATGCAACAATAGCATTTTCAGAGAAAAATCCAGCCTCTGCGCCTTCATTGCGCAGAGCGTCCATATGAAAAGCATTGAGAAATGCTTTCCTGTGGACTCTTTGAATGCGCGCGGCACGTGCTGCGCATGTGCATTCCGCTCCGCTGACGTCGGCAGGGGAGGAGAGGTCACCAGCGCCGAGAGAGCCCGGCGCTGCAATAAGGTAAGCTGCCGAAGGGTTTTTAACCCCTTCAGCGCCATGGGAGAGGGACCCTGAGGGTGGGGGCACCCTCAGGGCACTATAGTGTCAGGAAAACCGCTTTGTTTTCCTGACACTTTAGTGATCCTTTAAAAAACAAACAAAAAAACTATTCATAATGTATCAACTAGATGAACTCAAATTGTGAAGGGAAGTAAATGGAGCACTCACAAGCATAGAACTGTTAAGTCAGCTCTACTTAGCAAGCTTTCAGGCCCGGTACGGCAGTCACACCCCTCCTCAATGCAAAAAAATTCAAGATAGTGTACACCATATAGCTTAAACATATATATGACAACTCACCCTTACTGGAGCCCTTTCTCCTGGCTCTGGTAGTGAATCTCTGTGAAATAAAATTTCACACCAGCTTTTCTTGTGCTTATATCCCTTCTGAAAGCCGCGGCTTATAGTCTCTGTGAATGATATTTTGGTACATCTCATTTTACAATTGTCGCCTTTACAGCATGTTCTGTAATCCTCAGTCAAGAGCAAGATCAACTGTTTAAATCAAATCTAAATGTAAAGGCTAAAGGTAACCAGGTGCCCTATCCATACATGTTTCCAGTAAGCTATAAGAAACTTAGCATAACTAGGCACGTACCTGGTTCCCAATGTCATGCCACAGATCTGTAGAAGAGACATAATAGTGCCAATTTGCTCTGCAAATAAACCTGTCTGTGGCTTGAACACTGTGAGTGCCTGGAGACTTTTTCCTTTTCTACTGTTAAACCAATTTAGAATTTGCTGGTTTTGTTTCAGTGCCTCTGGTGTCAGGTGGGATTGAGTTCAGTACCTTTCACTTTTTAAAAGCATGCCCCTTTCCCCCCCCTCCCCCCTTTTCTTTTTCGAATTGTCAGTCAGCTTTCTGATCAATTTTAGAAAGATTTATCTGGTAGAGTTTAGGTCTATCAAAGTCTTCATTTTCTCAAAAGCTTATCTGAGTGTTTTAGAAAATGGTAGATTAGTCTTTGAAATGAATATGGACAAATGTAGGATGTATTTTCCTGAATCAAGTTATAGCTCTATAGGATGTTTCAAAAAATATTTCTTTAAACTGAGCTTTCTCTTGAATTTATTCAGGTCAATATGCAGGTCAAAATACACGAATAATATTGGCCAAGATCTGGATCTGGTATCTGAATATACTACACATGTTCAATGGCTTTTATTGGAAACTACGTCAAAGACTAGGGCTACTGACAATGCTAGAACCTGATCCAGACCATATCATATGTGTAGCCTGGAAACTGAACATAATATCCTGCTAGCTGGAGGTATTGATGGTGAGTTAGCTCATATTGTTCTTCAAGCTTGGATGAATTCCAAATCACAAATACATGTGAGAATCTGGCAAAAGTTCAGGGACTTGTGAATAACATCAGGCCATTAGCACTATCTACATTCCATATTTTAACCACTTAAGGACCAATGACGGAATGATTCCATCATGGATGTCCTTTCCTTAAGGACCTATGCAATACTTCTGTCATGTCAGATTTTTTTCCCTGTTGGTAACAGGGGAACACCAGGTATCATTAGATACCTAGGACTTTCCTGTGTAAGCTGGGGACAGAATTGGTAGCCCTTGACTGATCAATGTTCTGTTTGTAGCATTTAAAGTAAGCGCTGTATACAGGAACAATATAGTATCAGGAACACAAACATGTATTCCTGACACTATAGCTTTAAATCCCGATTTAGGCCTCCGTACCGACTCTTTAAAAAGGTGATTTTACGGTATTTTTAAGTGCCGCTTCAGTCTCGCTGCAGATGTCCCCGCCTCACTCTGCCTCCGTGGCTAAGATCAAATTTGATTATCTGAACCAATCCAATGCTTTCCCATAGGAAAACATTGTGAGGCTATTGCGCATGCACAGCAAAATGCAGCGCTGTGCCAGTCAGCATCTTCTCTTAGAGATGCATTGAATTATTGCATTTCTATGGGGAGTGTTCAATGTAGAAACTCTGACCCAAGAAGCACCTCTAGTGGTTGTCTGAGTGACTGCCACTGGAGGCCTTGTAAGACAGTAAGGTAAACACTGCCTTTACTCTAACAAGGCAGTGTTACATTAAAAAGCCTGCAGGGACATTCTATGCACACCAGAACAACTGCATAAAGCTGTAGAAAAACCCATCCCTACCTTTAGTATATGACAAGATCCTTCAGCCATATACATGTACCTTTGCTACAAAGTAGTTTGAGCAAGGTTAAATACCTGCTTACATCGTGGAGTCCTAAGTATCAAATATTTTTAGTGGCGATGGACTGCGTGCAGCACCTTGTCTTGAGTCATCCAATCAAAATTTTTCTGCAGTTTATTTTCAGCAATAATTTGCATATCTCATACCAAAATTATTATTTAAAATGTCTGATTTTCATTTACTCACAAATCAAAATCAAATGGAGAGACACAATTATATTAAATAGCTAGGTGCAAGCCAAATAAACACTCCCCCAAGTGTTTGAAAATCCAAATATCAAATAATATAGGAATGCACACTATACCAACTTCAAACAGTAATTATAATCAGGCTTTATTATGTACAAAATTACTATAGTGATAAACAAAACCAGACATAAACAAAATAACAGAAGTAGAGGCAATACAATAATACAATGGTACAATACCAAAAAATCCACAAGACAGAAACACGAGTCACCAAACCCCCCAACGTTTCGGCACCAACTGGCTTCCTTTATCAAGGGTACCTGTATCCATGTTCCAATGCGTCTGTTTATAAAGCCCTCCTACAGCTGACCATCTGTGGTTGCTCTGGGTGGAGAGCAGAGGGACCTCTCTTCAGTGGCATGTTTCTTTTTCTCACCCCCAGCCGCTCCATGTGTCTCATTCTCTCCCGAAGCCCCACCATGTGTCTCACTCTCCTTCTAGCTCCTCTATGTGTCTTATTCTCCCCCAGGCCCTCCATGGGTCTTATCCCCCCTCAGACCCTTAATGTGTCTCATTCTCATCCACCCAGCACCTCCATGTGTCTCATCCCCCAGATGTGTCTCATTCTCAACCGCAGCCCCTCCATGTGTCTCATCACCCCCTTGGCCCATCCATGTGTTTCATCCACCCCCCCAGCTCGTTCATGTGTCTCATTCTCTCTCTCCCAGCTCCTCCATGTGTCTCATTCTCCACCAGCTTCTCAAAGTGTCTCATTCCCTCCCAGACCCTTCATGTGTCTCACCCCCAGTCTCTCCATCCTTCCCATCCCCTCCATCTTATTTCCCTGTCCACCTGTGCCTGCGGACATCCCTGTAGCGTGGATGTGTGGACCACAGTGGTGGAGCTATTGTTCTTGTACCCAGTCTAACAGATGTGCTCACTGAGAGCACTTCCTGTCAATCCAGGTAGAGTATCTTCTGTATGCAGTCTGCTTGGCCACGCTACATACAGTGACTGTCAGGAGTGCTTGCTATGAGCTCCCTTGTCATCCACTCACCTGGCGACTAGATGTTCCAGGCTGGTGCAGCTGTGACCTCCTGGTGTGATGGGCCTGGTTGTAGCTGTGACCCCTGCAACCGCAGTAGTTGCGCCATTGCCTCTTCTTTTTGTTTGTTTAATTAAATCTTATTTGGCTTTTCACATAATAAGACAGATTACATAACCTCTTTTTTTACTTTTCCTGTCTCTTAGTTCCTCAGCTTTGAGTGCCAGATGGGAATAGAAATTGAGAGTCGGACGGCAGGAAATCCTTTTTTTTTTAAATAGGGTTTTCTCCAAATCTGTACATATGCTAGAAAAACTGCTTGCACAATGCATAAAGAAAATTTCAAACTCTTTCGAAAGAGCTAATCACTAATCAGTTTAGCAGAACTCAAAGATGATCTCTGTTTAGATACATCCAGTGAGAGCAGCAATGTCTCTTTTCCATAAGGTTGCTGGGAATTTTTGAATGGGGTCAAACTTTGAAGACATCCTTTTGTTTTCATTTTAGAATTTGCTTTTTGCTGTGCCACTGCTCCTAGCTCTAAACCTCATGCCTAAATTCTAACAAAACACTATTGCTAAATCCACTAACCCTAAACTATCTCTAACCCTGACTCTCGTCTAACTTTAAATTCTCTAAATTAATCCAAGCTATACCTGTTCAGTATCTATGGTTAGCCCGTATTAAAACTGCTCATACGGTTAACTAACCCTAGGGCCAACCCTGAGGCGAGAGTTAGCATTAGCTAAGTAGAGGTGCAGGGCTGGTAGAATTTGACCATAATTCCTTTGCTCTAGTAATAAACGGAGAACCAGCATCAGTTTGCTCACTGCAGTAAAAGTCCACATAGTGTCGTGGGGACCATTCACTTCTTGATTTTTCTCTGCAGCTGTTTAAAGTCAACAGCAGTGTGAGAGAGCGGCAGGAAGCATGTGAAGCCATGCCAGTACTTTACAGGCAATCACTGCAATGCCACCAGCTCGATACAAACTTTTCTGTCTTAGCTGCTGATATAAGCTTTTATCTGCAATGCAAAGAGCGATCATAAGCTAAACAGTTGCTCACTGACCAATACTAGGTCCAGGGTAACACATGAATGGAATCTCACCCTTCCTATCATAAATATTTTAAAGCTTATCATGGTTCCTCCACAGCAGTAGGTGTGGTGTGGGAAAGTAGCAGCTGACACCATTCATACTTATCCCAGCACATGCCGCTGTCAGTTATCTGTCATATAAACTCCACATGTAGGGAAAGCAACATATGTGTTTTGTGTGTGTAGCTAATTCGGTATGCGTGGGAGAGCGTGACTCAAGGTGTGGGGGTGTATGGCTAATTAACCCATTAGTAACACAGCCTTGTTTTGCTTGTTTTGTAGGCCCAGTTCTGAGGGAAAGGACTTATATTATATACTATATTACAGATTTGTCAGCGGGAAAATGGGTGCAGGCAGAGCCAACTTTATCATGTTATGCTGACACATACAGCCTTGTCTGAGGACATCAGAATGCATTGTTATTAAGCCGATTGTAATTAATGGAGCTGAAGCAATAGGTGGTGATCTGAGTGATGGTGGGCTACCTTGGTTGCTGGATTGGTATATGACCTCATAAGGTCATAGGTTAATTCCCCTGCTCAAGGCCATTTATCTCAGTGGTTCCTAAACCAATCCTCACACACCCTTCCTCCCAAGTTCAGGATTTAGGGATTCCCCAGTTGTGTCTTTAGAAAAAAAATCACCTTGGACATAATTGGGTGATCTCTAAATACTGGGCTGATAGGAGGGACATGAGAACTGGTTTGAGAATCACTGGTTTATCTTATACTAGTGGTGCACACATGGCTAACTCCTTGGTCACTGATACCCCAAGGTTCCATGCTATGATGGTAATGAATGATTTTTTTTGTAACTTGATGGAGACTTTTTCTTTTTTCTCTTGCAGTCTCAGTACATGTAGAGGGTGATGTCCAGGCTGTCCTGTACTCCGATGTTGTACTGCGCTGCAGAGTGGAGACGCAGGAGCATGTGACCCAACTCACATGGCAGAAGAAAAAGACTCCCAACAATGAGGACTTCCTGACTTACAGCAAAGGAGAGCTGCCAGTATATCTCACACCATTTGCACAAGAGAGAGTGAAATTTCTAGGAGGCGGTGACCAGAGTGGTAATATTCTCATCCGCAATGTGACATTAAATGACGAGGGAATCTACCTCTGTAGCTTCAGCACCCACCCGACTGGGACAAGAGAGAAGGAGATTAAACTGACTGTTCAAGGTAAGGGGGCAGGAATTATCATTTATTAAAGGAACACTATAGTCACCTAAATTACTTTAGCTAAATAAAGCAGTTTTAGTGTATAGATCATTCCCCTGCAATTTCACTGCTCAATTCACTGTCATTTAGGAGTTAAATCACTTTGTTTCTGTTTATGCAGCCCTAGCCACACCTCCCCTGGCTATGATTGACAGAGCCTGCATGAAAAAAAAAACTGGTTTCACTTTCAAACAGATGTAATTTACCTTAAATAATTGTATCTCAATCTCTAAATTGAACTTTAATCACATACAGGAGGCTCTTGCAGGGTCTAGCAAGCTATTAACATAGCAGGGGATAAGAAAATCTTAATTAAACAGAACTTGCAATAAAGAAAGCCTAAATAGGGCTCTCTTTACAGGAAGTGTTTATGGAAGGCTGTGCAAGTCACATGCAGGGAGGTGTGACTAGGGTTCATAAACAAAGGGATTTAACTCCTAAATGGCAGAGGATTGAGCAGTGAGGCTGCAGGGGCATGTTCTATACACCAAAACTGCTTCATTAAGCTAAAGTTATTCAGGTGACTATAGTGTCCCTTTAAGGAACATCTTTTATACAAGGCAATTCACAAAGAAACTGGTAAGTTTTTGAATTTCGATTTAACTTAACACCTTCTTTACCATCAGCTAGAATTCAACTGAAGAGTTGTACTTTTATAACATAGCAAACCAGCAGGTTCGTGATAAAACCACACCAACAGTGTACTAAATGGAAATTTACAAAGCATTTCCAATATTCTGAGGCACTCCATTAACTGTTCTCTAAACCACACTTCCAGCCAGGTCAATCATGGAGTGGATGGCAGGGGAGGGTGGTGGTGGTGGGGGGGGTGGTCACAATATCAAGACCTTGTCATGGCCAGCCCAACCTGCAGACCATAACCCAATTGAAAACCCCTGGAATGTGATCAGGAGGAAGATATATGGTCACAAGTCAAACAAAGCCGAGCTGCGTGAAATTTTTGCAACAGGAGTCATCCAACAGCAATGTGAAAGGCTAGGAGGGAAAAGATGCAGGAAAGCTGTGATTGGAAATCAGGGTTATTCAAACACAGATTGATTTCTGAACTATTCCTAAGATAAAACATTAACAAAAAAGACCATATTTTTAATAGGAATTTGGGAGGTAAGTTGTCAGTAGATTATAGAATAAAACAAAAATGTGTATGCAACTCAAACACTGTAAATACTAAAACCAGATAAATGTTTAATTTTGCAGTTCTCTCTCTCTCTTTCTCTCTCTGGCTCTTATACCATCCATGATCCATGAGGTCCAATTGGTGTTGATATACAAGTAAATATAAATCAATATGTTATAAAATTACAATTCCTTCATTCCTACATAAATATACACTCAGATTTAAAATCCACCACTTTCCACTTTCTGAGGTCTAAATCTCACAAATATCCCTGTGTTTTGCCGACACAGAGACTCTGTCCCCTGTGATGTTCCAACATGGTGATGTATTGACACTTTTAGAGAAAGGTCAGGCAGTTCTATGGTCGGAGATATGATTGTGGGCTCTCACCAATCTAGGGAGGAATAGAAAATGCATTTCTTACAAAGCAAAACATTTTTATTATTACTTACAGTACAGTCTTGCAAATAAATCTCTTATCTTTTTAGTTTATCCAGAAATCCTCGTGGGACCTTCCATGAATCCAGTAACGGTTGGTGATTCTCCTCAGATGATGGGCTACTGTATTGCTATAGCAGCAAAACCGGCAGCAAATATTCAATGGATCATAAAAGGTTTCTCCTATAGTTTAGACAAAAATACAACACGCCATGAAAATCTGACTGTGACAACCATGAGCTACTTAATGATTCCACCCAGTCTGGAACTCTACGGTCACAATGTTACCTGTGTGATCACTCAAGAGAACGTCCAACAGCAGCAGGAGAGAATGTTCAACATACGTAACATCCATTGTGAGTATGGCATGCTTTTCCCTTTCTAGTTGCAGAGCTAGAAATTAAATTATAGTTTAAATCTATTTTATGGAATCTACTCAGTATCTTAGTTAAACATGTTGATTCAATGGGATTCATTCACTGGCAACCGAGCCACAAATGAATGCTGTCCAGTTGTCACAGTTTGACTGTTTTAACCCATTTGGCTATTCACGAAAGGCAAATTAAATAATTTCAAGTGAAATTTGCACTTCTATTATCTGGTGAAAGCAGCAAAATCTCCAGCCAAAACTGCTATTCACAAACAGCTGAATTGCAATTGCATTTGATTGGTTGTTGTTCCATTTTCCCTGATACAAAAACCTACTTAACCCTAAATGAATATGCTATCCTATGGGGTTTTAAAAGACGCTGGACATCCTTGAACTCTGTGAAGCTGCATCTACAGGGCTAAGGGGATAGGGACAGTGCACCCAGACCACTTCAATGAGATGACGTGGCTTGGGTGCCTATAGTGTCCCTTTAACACCGTATGTGACACTGAAAGACTAAATTGGCATAGAAGAGGTTAATAGGTTTTAGGTTGTGGAGTTGTTTTGTTTGTAAGTTTAATTTAATTATTGTAGCCTGGCACTTTGAGTTAGTGCTGCCAAGACACTCTGGGGTTGGTGGCATTTTATTAAACTTATTATTGCTATATGTTGTTATGTTTTATCCAGTAGGTTTCCCTAAATATATAGTGTAACAGAGTATAGCTGACTTCGATCATTTATCCAGTTCTCTATTTTGATCTTAAAGCAGCACTGTCAATCCCCCACCTCCTTCTCCCCTCCTCCCCTGCCACCCCCCCTTGAAAAAATGTGCATTTCATAAAGATAGAATCTTTGTGAATTTGGCCAAGTCCCCAGACTGTGACAGTGCCGCTTTGAACTTGAAATTCACTTTCTGTTCACTTAGTGGCGGATCCAGAGCCAAATCTCGGGAGGGGCACTTGTAGATTATTTAAAGAAATAATCCATGCACAATAACCACTTCAGCTCTGTGTAGTGGTTATGGTGCCAGGAGTGCCGGGACCTCCTCCCAGAGTAAGTAGTCAAACCGTTTAAGAACAATTTGACAACTTACCTGGGGTCTGCTCGCATATGGGGTTGTAATAGGGCATAGGAGCAGTGGTGTGTGTGAGTTGTGCAATGTGTGAGGGATGCAGTGTGTGAATGTGTAGGGTGTGTGGGAGGCAATGTGTGTATGGGAGACTGTGTATGTGTGTGGGGGCAGTGTGTGTGTGGGGAGGCAATGTGTGTTAGTGGGGGCAAGGTGTGTTTGTGTGTGTGTGTGGCAGTGTGTGTAAGGGTGGCTGTGTGTGTGTGTGTGGTGAGGAGGATATGGGGGCTTTTTAAATAATTTTTTTTATATAGGTGGTCCGTGGGAAATTCCTGGTGGTCGCAGTGGTGAGAGTGAACTCTAGCCTGCAGTTCCAGTTCTGGCTAGAGTTCACTCTCGCGAGATCCAGGGCGTTACCATGGTAACCGTGGCAACAAACCTTGCTTGTGAAAGAAGGACCCGGAGGAGCTGCAGGCTGAGCTCCCGGGTCCTCTCTCCCTCCCCTGCCGACTGCTCACACGGTGCCTGCGGATCGTGGAGGGAGATCTCTGATCTCCCCTCCGGTCCATGAAGGCACATTGCAGGGCCGGTGCTTGGACAGTGCCAGCCCCGCATTATCCGGCAGGGGAGAGCCTCAGGGGTTGGGGGGAGGGGGCAATTCCCCCGTTGCCGCCTCCCCCCCTGGATCCGACAGTGATTACTTTGAATTCTCATTTTAGTGAATAATCCTGTAAGACATACGTGATGTTTTGGGATAGATGAAAATTAGTTATTCAGCATTCCCTTTAGTGACTGTCTGAGAGTTGTGGGAGAAGAAAAGGATCTAGCAGAATTTCTGGAGGATAATGCATAGAGCCCTTGCGGACAGAGATTTATGTAAAGGAACACTAAAGCATTAGGAGGTGCTTCCCCTCCTTGCTATCCAAAGGTAAAACAGTACTTTACCTTACTTTTTCTCCCTTGAACCCCGGTCTTCGCACTGGAATCCCTCATCCAAGGCTGAGCTTATCAAGACTCATGATCTCAGTGTTTTCCCACAGGGGAAGGCTAGTGTGCTTGGCTGCAAAATGTTGAGCTGCATCAGTCTGATGGTCTCAGGGGACGTGCCTCTAGTGACTGTCAGAGTGACAGCTACTTGAGAAATCCTGCAGAATGCCAGTATTTTAAATTACACGGTTTAACAAACAGAAGCACCCAGACCCAGGACACTTAAGGGTTTTTATTAATTAATCTATAGTCTCTATTTAGGAGGGTGCTCGGTTGGCTTCACAATAATGTGCTGCTTAGATATGGTATATATTATGTATTTGTCATACTAATCATGTTCTTAAAAGTGGAAAATTATATGTAAGAGCATTTCTTTGACAAAGTTGTTTTATTCTAAATTATGAGTGATCCAAAGTGAATCATTGTAATATAGTCAATAACGTCTTATGTAATACATGCAAGCTTTTTTGTTGTTTTGTGTTAGATGCTCCTTTGAATGTAAATATTAGAGTAATTCCGAGTGAGGAACAGATGTTGCAACTTTCCTGTGAATACGATTCCAATCCTCCGGCATCCAAATTTACCTGGAGATGGTAAGCAACCATACTTTATGTTACATACTTAGCTGTTGATGCACCAGTTATTTATGTTGATACATTTTAATTGAGTTTTAACAGTGTTTATATTATCCGTTGTAATAAAAATATACAATTTCCCCTCTCTCCCCCCTCAACAAAACCGTACATCTAGATTCTAGATCATGGGTGTCCAAAGTTTTTGTTTCCACGGGCCACATTGAGCGAAGGGGAAATGTCACATATGTATGTACATATACACGTAACCACAGATATACACATACACACATAATCACAGCTATACACACACATATAATCATAGACCTATGCACACATACACTCACATATCTATACACACACACATAATCACAGACCTATACACACACATAATCTTACATAAGCACAAACACAATCACAGACCCACACACGAAAACATACATATACAGACACACAATAACAGACCTGTGCACACAGTAACATACAGAGACACAATCACAGATGCACACAATCACAGACATATACTCAATCACACACACCATCACAGACCCACACACATACAATCACAGACAATCACATACACACATAATTACTGGCATACACACACGAAAATCACATCCATACATATACATTTAGGAATTAAGACATTTAGGAATCCACCCCGCTTCCCTGTATTGCTCTGGAAGAGCTGGAGTGGTCAGTGATTGCTGCTGTGATGGGATCACTGTGCTCTTTCTGCACAGGTCCCTCACGTGCCAAGTTGAGATGCTCAATAACCTGAAGTTTAGCAGTAGTAGTTTCTATCACAATGAATATTCTATTTAAGGAACATGTTTCACTTGACAATTAAAAAAAATTTAAAAAATTTGAAACGATCAAGCAAACACTTTTGAACAAATATACAAACCAAAAAAAAATAAGAAAAAATGTGCAAAGTATGTAATAAATATTGCTAAACTTGCTATAAACTTGATCATATTGCATTGTTGGGCACACCTCTCAGCTAGGGAAGTTTCTTCAGCCTCCTCCCTCTTACTTACCAGGGCCGGACTGGCCCACCGGGATACCGGGAAATTTCCCGGTGGGCCGTCGGCACCTGGGTCCGGGGAGACATTTGGTGACCTGCGGCCGCAGGGAGAACTTCGATGGCGGCTGCAGGGAGAGCTCTTTCGGCGGCCGCAGGGGGAGCAGGCTGTTCTGTCTTTGCTCCCCCGCCCTCGCGCGCTAGTTAATTAGACCGGGGCCGGAATATGATGAGGCAGCGCAGGGGAATGGCAAGCTAACCTGGCAGGACACCAGGTAAAGCAAAGCCAACCCTGCTCGCCTCCCGCCGACATGCTGCAGAGCCGTTCCTGCCCGCCTCCCGCCCTCATTCCGCAGAGCCGGCCAGCCGCCCTTTACCCTGCGTGACCTCAGCGCTGAGAGGAAGTTATTACAGCTCCCTTCACTTCCTCTCGGCGCACACGGGGCTGGAGAGAGAGTAGGAGGCGGAAGCAGGGAGTCTGGAATGGCGGCTGCCTACTCCCATTAGCTGCAGCCAGCCCCACTAACAAGATGTCACCTGCTGCTGCCCAGTCCCACTGGAGCCCAAGGGAGTCACCCTCCTGGGCTGAAAAGGTAGGAGGGTTGCTAAAAATATGTATTTTTCTTCTCTAATTTCTGTATATCTGTCATGTCTGTATGTCTGTATGGGTATTTATCTGTGTGTATGTATGAATGTTTGTGTTTGTGTATGTATATATTTGAGTGTATCAATAATAATACTTTGTGTGTGTGTCTGTCTCCATGTCTCTGTCAGTGTGTGTGTGTGTCTGTCTCCATGTCTCTGCAGTGTGTGTGTGTGTCTGTCTCCATGTCTCTGTCAGTGTGTGTGTGTGTCTGTCAGTGTGTCTCTCTCCATGTTTCTGGCAGTGTGTGTCTGTCAGTGTGTCTCTCTCCATGTCTCTGTCAGTGTGTGTGTCTCTCTCTCTGTGTGTCTCTCAGTGCCTGTCTCTGTCAGTGTGTGTGTGTGTCAGTCCGGGTGTCTGTCAGTGGATGTGTATGTTTAGGTCACCAGCCACCTCCGATCGCAATGGGAATTATGTTTTTACACATCTTTTACCTAGCGCCGTACCGGTCTCGCTGTAGCTGGCCCACCTTCATAGCTCAGATTATCAATTACCAATCATCATCTCCTCATAGAGATGCATTAAATTAATTAAAAGCATCTCTATGGGTAATGTTCAGCACCTCCATGCAGAGCGTGGAAACGCTGACTGTAGGTGCTGCTCATTGTGCACTACGATAGGAGACACTTTAGTGGCCATCTGAGTGACAGCCACTAGAGGTGTTACTGGACAGCAACGTAAAACTGCCTTATCTCTGAAAAGGCAGCTTTAACATTGAAAATTCTACAGGGACAGGCTATATACACCAGAGCCATTACATTAAGCTGTAATGGTTCTGGTGACTATAGTGTTCCTTTAAGAATTGTATTTTTGTTGTGAGGATGGGGCGGGGGGGAAGGGGGGAGAAAAGCTGGCTCCTAACTTTTTTAGCTGGCTCCTAGATTGAAAGCAAATTTGTCAAGCCCTGATATATATATATATATATATATATTATATATTGCTTTTTCTAATATAAAATATTGGTCCTTTCAGAGTAAAACATTTAATTATACAGTAAGCATACTCACATGCAGACACAGACAATCTGACACAAGCTGATTGATAGACAAACAATCTCACTGATATACATAAGCTCATTGACATAAAAACACAAGCTCACTCACTAGCAGGCACACACACAGCTTAATGTAGTGGTTCTGGTGTCTATAGCCTGTCCCTGCAGGCTTTTGAATGTAAACACTGACTTTTCAGAGAAAAGGCAGTGTTTACATTGCTTCCTAGTGACAGACACTCAGACGGTCACTAGAGGCGCTTCCCGTGTCAGTGCGGATTGGCTGAGATCATCAAGCTTGATGATCTCAGTCATAGAGGCAGGGCCAGTCGAGGGGAGACCAGCACGACGTTGGGAGAAAAAAAAAAAAAGGTGAGTAAAACAGTATTTTTAAAAACACACACAGACACCATGACAGACACACACACACACACCCCATGACACATACATATACCATGACAGACACACACACACACACCATGACAGACATGCACACACCTTGACACACACATATACCATGACAGACACACCATAACACAGACCATGACACAGACAGACACACACACCCACCATGACACAGACAGACACACACACCATGATACAGACACATATGACACAGACACACACACCATGACACAGACACACACACACACACACCATGACACAGACAGAGACACACACACCATGACACACAGACACAGACACCATGACACAGACAGACACACACACACACACCATGACAGACAGACACACACAGCATGACACAGACAGACACATACACACACACACACCATGACAGACAGACACACACAGCATGACACAGACACACACACTCCCATTGACAGACTGACATACATACTTTTTGCTACCTGTGGGTGGGCAGACAGATAGGTGTGCTGGCGGCTGCAGGGAGAACTTGGATGGTGGCCGCAGGGGGAGCTCTTCTGGCGGCCGCAGGGGGAGCTCTTCTGGCGGCCGCAGGGGGAGCAGGCTGTCTCTGCTCCCCAGCGCGCAGCTTAATGAGACCGGGGCCGAAATATGACATCATATGCCTCTGCAGGAAGGAAGTAATTAGTTATTCATTACCTCCTGGCGCACACAGCACTGCACTGGGATCGACACAGGAGGAGGAGGGAACGGGCTGACCAATCCCAGGTGCCAGGACAAAATATTGAGTCGCCATGGCGACCGGGCGCCTGGGATTTGTCGAGCCCTGATATATATATTACTCAATCATCTGGGGAGGCAAGACATAGCCTTACATATTACATGCGACAATATATGGCGCAATGGCTTATGGGGCTGGCATAGATTTTTTTTTTTCCAGGGCTGCTTTGTATCCCTAGTCCGGCCCTGTTACTTACCCACCAACCAGTCCACTAATGACAGAAACATGACTTCATTGTGTAGCAGCAGTAACTACTCATTCTTCCTGCACTGGCTAAGATAGCAGGGCCGATATTGTGGGTACTGTAGGGTAGTGGTGGGCTTAACACAATATGGTCTTATTGTGTAACTGAATCCCCATATTTGTTAAGATAGGTGATTATAAGTAGCCTTGCAACATTTAAAACTGTATTTTTGTTTTTGTGTGTGCGCTGTTCCTTTGACTGTATCTTGTATAGATTGTGGTCTTTAATGCAGTACCACTTCTTAGAAATGTTTGTTCTGGGTGTGCCCCCAATTCCTTTTTTCTTGACATTTTTTTCCAGATTAGGGTTTCTCTTATATCTTGCAAGTTAAGGCTAAATAAGATCACAATCACAAATATTTACCTCTTTCCCCTAATTGTTTGCTCAACGTAGGTGGTCTGTGGTATTCATAAAGTTGCATCTGAGAGGGACTACAATTTGATTTATATTAAGACAGAGGATGAATGAAATACATAGTATCATTATGAATATACTTTATTGCCTTTCTGTAAGTGTAATGTAAATGCTGTCTTCAGAACCTATATTTTAAATGCTACATATACTCAGAACAAGATATATTGCTAAATTGAAAACTGTTTGACCAAAATTGTGGTCCCTTTCTGGATTCCATAATATCAGCCAATAGACACCAGGTGGGGCCATGGAAGCAACTTGCTATTATGAAGTGGCCTCAATCGCTATTTAAATATTTTTAAACTTTGCTAGCTATTAAAGGGAAATGTATTAATAATTTTTCATTCATAGTGCAGCCTGTTATGACCTAGATGGGCACAGACCCTTACCACTGGTCCTCTCAAACCATTCTCCCTTTGACTCCTTGTAACAGTTCTCAAGTCCCAGATTTTAAATCATTCTCATATCAACCTGCTGTTATTCTGGAAGTCAAAGCCATTGAGATGATTGTGTCTTTGTCAGGATTACAGAATGATCCAGCACGTAGAATTGTATAACACAGAGGACTGATAGGTAACGTTTACCGGACAGTAGAATGGCCGGACTAACGTACCAAAGAATAGTCAGGAATAGCCGAGTTCAAGGGAAACAGAAAGAGACACAACGATAAGGAAAAGCCAGGAGTCAGGGATGCCAGAAAACAGGGAAGTCAAAAACAATGCCAAAGTCAAATAACCAGAATTACCAGAATCAATAACGCGCTCTCGGACAACCACAAGGGAAACCACGACAAGGCACTGAGCAGGATGAGAACTGGGCCTAAATACCCCTCCTTTAGTTCTGATAGGCTGTAACCGGCCTTTAACCCCAAAGTTAGTTACCAGGTTACCATTTGCATAATTGCTGCTCAGCATTAACCCTTCTGTGGATTAGGTTGCTGCTCGGCACAACTTTTCCTATGTGGACAGTAAATGTCATTAACCACATTTTTATAAGCGGATGAATACGTGACAGTCTTAGAGAGCTTCAACTGATTAACTCTCTAAGACAGTGCAATATAGGAAACAGTTACGTGCTATCATCATGGAATTAAATGAATGGAGATAGCTGTTTGAGGGTACAATCACATTGGTCTTGATCCGGACAATTAATTAAAACTATTCCGACTTGTCGGAGGTGATACTCCTGTTGCCCAAAAATTCTTAATGGTCACTATTTTTTGTTCTGGTTTCATTTAATTTACTCTAAGAAAAAAGTTTTGCAGTATAATTCTGCCTCCTTAGACTGATATATATATATGTGTGTGTGTGTGTGTGTATATACAGTTGCAAGAAAAAGTATGTGAACCCTTTGGAATGATATGGATTCTGCACAAATTGGTCATAAAATGTGATCTGATCATCATCTAAGTCACAACAATAGACAATCAGAGTCTGCTTAAACTAATAACACACAATGAATTAACAATTACACCTAAAAATGGGAATAAATATATATATATATATATATATATATATATTGTATCATTAAATGATAAATGCTGGATTTTTACATATGATTTGAAATAAAATAAATTACTCATATATGTGTGATGTAAAGAGTCTTCTTGAGGCATGTTTGCAGCCTTTGATGATTTCCTTGGTTTTCTTGTGAGACATTCATCTCACAGAGGAGGCTGCTGGCAGCCAGGGGAAAGCTTTTATGAGAAAAGATAAAAGATCTGTGAATGTATCACAGCCTGTGAATGTATCATAGCTCTGGTGGTAAGGACTTATCCTTCCTCCACAAGTTGCATGGTAAGCATTTGAGTTACACTGAGTGTAAATAGGCACAGCCAGAGGAGGTGAGGCTTGTGTTGCTAAAATAATCTAAATAACCTTCTAAATGGCAGATAATTGAGCATTAAGACTGCACCTAAACCACTTTATTATGCTAAAATAGTTTTGATGCTAAGACTATTCCTTGTAGATCAATCTAAAGTCTGGTAATGTGAATTTATGTTTTTGATCTTTGTTTTTTCCTTGATTAGGGTCTGGCCTACATTTTATGAATTAGGGTCGTCCTCAACCTGACAACTGAAATTAATATATTCAGGTATATTTTAGGATAGTAGTATATATCTATTTTCAAATCTCATACTGCATGATTGGTTACCGAAAACATAAATAGTATGCACAGCAAGAAATGTATACTAAAAGCACAGTAGTTTATTACACAATATTTAAAACCTCAAAATAGTCAAACTAAGCAGTGATAAGGCTTTTACAAACTCACAGCACCAAATAACACGTACCAGAAAGTGAAACACACGACAGCCTACCCACAAAGTTTTGGCATCACTAAATGCCTTTCTCAAGAGACAAGTGTGCAGGCAACTCCTCTGTTTGGTCATATTTACCCTGATGACAATCAGTGTAATTCTCCAAGTGTGAAAGTGGCGTCCTCAAACTAAATTATCAGTTGTAACCAAACATTCTCCACATCACATACACAGATTCTGAAATCAGTCCAGATTCACTTCGATGTACACACAAGAAATGCAAATGTTGAAAACCTGCGACCTAAGACACAATGTTACAGGTGTTGCTACGTGCAGTTCCAAACACACACCACTAGTCCAAAGTAAACGCGTAGGCAGTCTGTCCGATGGACCTCCTTAAATTCCTATAATCATAAGTATGAAATATCCCCAACCAATCATGCAGCAGAGCTTGTTCCCCCTTTTCATTATGGATTTGGAGGCTTTGCGTCAGAGGATTACACATTTTAACTGTATTCTTATGTGTCTGTCTTTTTGGTTGCTAATAGCCACAAGTATTGTATTTACGGATACTACGTTTGTAATTTACATCCTTCGGTGTATTTGCAGCTGAAAATTTGGTTGCAATTCAATGCGTTTTGACCGTGATTTTTTTTTTTTAACATTGACACTTCTTGTGTTGCCTTCGAAATGCTCGTTTTTAATGGGACTGATTTTAGAATGTGTGTAAGTGATGTTTTGTATGTTTGCTTATATTTTCTATTTAGTTTGTATTCACTGTTTTGTATTATATGTATTATGTTTATATTGTCACGTTGCACACGTCATGACGTTACATTTGAACTAGCTGTGAAATTCAAACTGATGGCTAGATGGCCATCCTAAGGGTATGTATAACCAGACAGAGGAGTGGGTTGCACATTTCTCCCTTTGAGAAAGGCATTTTGTTATGCTGAAACAATATGGGTGGAATATCCTGCATTTGTTTTACTTTCTGGTAGGCTTTTTGATTGTGTTATTTGCTGCTGTGAATTTGTAAAAGCCTTGTCACTGCTTTGTATGCTTTCTTTGGGGCCTTTTGTTTAATAAACTAATAAACATTTCTCGGTGTGCACCCTATTCATATGGCGATGTTTATATAGGCAGTACTTCAGAGAGTTCTAAATTGGGAGAATACCCTTTCATACATTGATATTGTATGGTTTGTGAGCTCTTTCCTTTTAGTTTGAAACTTTGGGTTAAATCAGTCAAATGATCATGTTCCATAATATACAGTTTTACTGAGGGTGGGAGGCTGTAATCACAGGGCTGTACTGGGATATATTCTGGTTTAATGATAAGTTGAACACATATAAACAGAGAAATCAGATGCACTAAATATGGATATTTTACTTCTCTAATTAGCAACTCTCTCCACAATGTCATACAATCAAGCAGCACTGAGTGAGAAATTCAGTGTGAATTGCCCAACATAAAGTAATATTTGCAATAAAATTTTGAACAGTGTGCTAGTAATAAATAAATAAATAAAACAATACTTATATAAACAGTGTAGACTTTAATGGTACATAAAAATACACAAAAATGCACTGCAATGAATAAAATATAATCAAAAATGTATTTACCCATAAGGCATTAAAAGTACACAATATTGGAGAAGATTGGAGCGTATAACTGCAAGACTACAAATAAAATAGACAGCATTATGCAATTTCTGAAAATCACATACCGTAATGCTGACAAATATTGTGGCCCTCCAATTTTCTCCAATTTGCTGTACTTTTAATGCCCTGAGCGGTGAAAACATTGTGATTAGATTTGTATTTATCTCAGTGCATTAGGTTTTTTTGCCTTTTATTTGGGATTGGTGAACCTCACCAGTATAAACCTGTACATCTATTCAATCTACTAGTGGATTACACAAGATTTGTGCTGCACATTGGGCAACTTGGCATTCAGGGTTCAGCCTAGATTTACATTACAAAAAAATAAAAATAAAAATATTTATAGTGCAGAAGATACAGAGTATCTAGATCTTATGTAGATAGAGGCGATGAAAAACCATAAATACCTCCAGTTAGAGCTTCAGACCTCACCAACATAAGAGGTGAAGTAAATATGGAAAATACATAAAAGCAATTAAAAAAATTAAAACAAATTTCACATCTTACTTTGAGTAAAATATGTTTTCAGTGTAGACGGAAATAGGAAGATAACCTGGTAAGAAATCAGTGCTGTGATGGTGGAAGTTCCACACTTGGCTCCAAGTTCTGGGGATGCCCCTCTACAGATATTTCAAGTAGGAATGATTCAACCTAGACATATCTTTATGGTTTTAATGAGCTGAGAATGTTTTTTTTTTTCCCAATTTGTGTATTTTTTATTTTCAGGGACAGTAACTCAGAATCTGGCTCACAGTATATTCCAGAAAACAGTAATCAGCTGACTATACCCAACGACAATGTCTCTAGTGGTTTGTGTGTATGCGAAGTTGAAAATCCAGTTGGCAGCAAATCAGGAAGTATCTACATATATACTAAAAAAGGTAATATTCGTTTAATTACATTGTAATATACATGAATAAAATGTATTTGTTATTTACACCCTGACTTGGTTTTTGCAGGGTATCCTGATTTTACTTATTTTACTGTGCATTTAATACCTGTGTTAACACATAGTGCATCAGCTTGACAAAGACCATTCAGGTGAAAACGTTGTGAGTGGCGGTGGGTTTAATAAAAGTTGGCTTAATTGTATTCATGAGTGCCTGGACCTTCTTCTATTTTTGTCTCATCAAGTATTTGGTTCTTGGTACTGGGACCAGCCTGGCTGCACCCAGATACATATTGTATGGGGATTGAGTGCATTTCCACACCCAAGTTTCTTGGTTTGTGCTTTTTGTAATGGCACAAGATGAGCTAAAACCAGCTTGAGAGCTGAGCGAGGACCCACCGAAGGGAAGGCTATTTGAGCTGTAGTCCTTCTCAGTACTCTCTGGTACTTTGTTTTTTTTCTGTACTCACTGACTTGCTTCGACCTAGACACTAAATTTTTTTATGGACTGCTGCTATCTCTCCAAAATTAAAACCTGACTCAGCCTAAATCAGGTCTCATAACTTATCAATCATCAATTTAAAAGACAGCTGAAGGGCAGACACATGGGTTCAATAAGTAAACAAGTCACGTAAAAATTAATCTCAAAATTTAAGGCAAAAACTAATATCTAAAAGGCCATCACACAGATATATATCTAGCATAGCACAAAATCACAGTTCAATGAGGTTCAATAGCTGGTAAATAGTAAGCATAAGTATGAAAAATAAAACTACCGACTTACTTGACATGTGAACCTGATATCATCATGTCCAATTTAATTAGAAAAATATCTACTACTCCTAAATTAGAATGGAAAAACAAGATATAGAAAAAGAAAAGAAAGAAGAGAAAAAAACTCATAGGGTAATAACATTAATTAACAATAAATCCTATTTCAATGTTGCACTCACAAATTGGAGGAATGTTCAGGCTCATCAATAATGTATGGACTCTCACAGGTTTACCATCGCTCAGATATCCAGTGATGCATGTAAAAGATATAAAAAAACAAAGTACAGCGCTGATATAAAGTAACATCACATGCTTAATAAATGCACTTACAGTATACAAGGAGTTTAAAAGCACATCATACAACTCTGCGTTCTCCAATCTTAGTGGTGAGGAGTAGAAGGTTCTTCATAGGTGTAATAGGCAAAAAAAGACCATATATATATATATATATATATAAAACACAAAGGTTATAAAATAATCTCTATGCGTTTCGTCTAGACTTCATCAGGAATAAAAAATTCAATAGTACACAGATAAGGTTCTATATTCGTTATGAGGACCAAGGCCGTATTTAAAAGTCCCTCTTACAGACGTCACAATCCTTTCGGCCAATCTGCTTTTCTCAGTTCATATGTTTCTAATTGATCGTTCAGTTTCTTCTTTAAATGGAGTTCCTGCGGACGTCCGTGCTTCACCGATCAGGAAGTGGTCTATCTTATTTCAGAAGTGATGTTGACGTGGATAGTGGATAGTCATCTCTTCACAGGGTAATCACAATAAGTCCTTGTTAAATCATTAGGTACCAAGTAATCACATAAAAACAAAAGTATGTTAAAAAGTGTTAGTGGCTAATTGTATACAATTATAAATTGTATACAATAGCCAAATACATTCAAAGAATACATAAAAACTACCAGCGCCGGCAGACCAGTGGAGAGCTGAAAATAAGGTGAGTTTTAACCCATTCTGAAGAGGCTAAGGGGGGGAGGGGGAGCAAGCCACCTAAATGGTGGGTTTTCACTATAGGGTCAGGAATACATGTTTGTGTTCCTGACCCTATAGTGATCCTTTAACACCAACATTTAACTCAGTAATTCTAAAAAAAGAGTAAGCTGCCAGACACCAACACATATACTATGAGCTTGCTAGAAGGCAATTTAAAATTTTCCTTATGAAAAGGTTTGTTTTTGCAGAAGAAAGAGCCAAGTTGTATGAGCATAACATTAATTTATAGTGGAGGAAGTCATACGCAGAATAAGACTTCCTCCAGCAGCGTTCAGCAGTTCTAGAGCATTTTTGGAGGTAGTGGGTCAGTTTTGTGTGCCAAAGTTGTAATTGGTGGAGGTGCTTGATATGTTTCAATGTTGTCTCAAAGTGATCTATTTCCCTTTAAGTCAGGATGGTTTTTTTCATGGCAATTGCTTTCTAGTTAGTTTTAATTGACCTCAATATAGTTTTTTTTCTGCGTAATTGGGGAGTAAGAAAAACTACAAGATGGTTGGGTCCTAAATGTTATAATAGAGTGGGGTCTAGAATTTAGCATTTTTCATCCTCTGTGTGTTCAAAGGCTCTTTCTGAAAAGCTGTAAAAAACTGGTATGGATGAAAATTCTTGTTCTTAAGTAGAACATTGGCTTAAAAATAGAGTACAGAGAAATGTCATTAAAGGACCACTATAGTGCCAGGAAAACAAACTTGTTTTCCTGGCACTATAGTGTTAATAGGCCCCCCTCACCCTCATGGCCCCCCTCACGTCAGGGTAAAGGGGTTAAAATCTTACCTTTCTCCAGCGCCGGGCTCCCTCGGTGCTGGGGCTCTCCTCCTCCTTCCGACGTCATCGGCTGAATGCGCATGCGCATCAAGAGCCGCACGCACATTCAGCCAGTCCATAGGAAAGCATTAATCAATGCTTTCCTATGCATGCTGGTGTCTTCTCACTGTGAAAATCACAGTGAGAAGTGTGTAAGTGCCTCTAGCGGCGGTCAATGAGACAGCCAATAGAGGCTGGATTAACCCATATATAAACATAGCAGTTTCTCTGAAACTGCTATGTTTACAGCAGACAGGGTTAACCCTAGATGGACCTGGCACCCAGACCACTTCATTAAGCTGAAGTGGTCTGGGTGCCTATAGAGGTCCTTTAATGGTACATTTTCAAGCTGGACAAAAGTGGTGTCCCTCAGGGTTCTGTTATGGGACCTTTTCTATTTAACATAGTTATAAATTATCTTGAAATAAGCATTGAAAGCCATGTTTTAGTGTTTACAGATGACGCTAAACTGTAAAGAAATGCAATATAACCAGGATATTACTTTGCTACAGAGGGATTTGGATAATGTAGAAAAATGCAAAGTTATGTACTTCGGGGTAAAGAAAGCACAAACAATTTATACCCTAAATGGTAGTAAATGAGGGATAACAACACACAAGAAGGATTTGGGAATTGTTATAGACAACAAATTGGGCAACAATGTGCAATATCAATCAGCAGTGGCTGAGGCCAGTAAGGTATTGCCATGTATAAAAAGGGGCATTACTTGGGATGAGAATATAATTTTGCCTCTTTATAAATCACTGGTAAGACCACACCATAAATATACTGTGCAATTTTAGGCACCTGTTGTAAAAAAGGATATTATGGCACTATAAAAAGGTGGGCTACAAAAAAGTAAAAGGAATGGAGCATTTTTATTATGAAGAAAGGTTAACAAATTTAAATCTCTTTAATTTGGAAAAACGGCACCTCAGAGGGGATATGATAACATTATACAAGTATATTCGGTCAATACGAAACATTGTCTGGAAATCTATTCACAAACAGGACTATACATAGAACACAAGGTCATGCATTTAGAATGGAAGAAAGGAGATTTAGTCTAAGGCAAAGGAAAAGGTTTTTTACAGTAAGAACAATAAGGATGTGGAATTTCCTGCCTGAAGAGGTGGTTTTATCAGAGTCTGTACAGATGTTTAACCCCTTAAGGACCAAACTTCTGGAATAAAAGGGAATCATGACGTGTCACACATGTCATGTGTCCTTAAGGGATTAAACAGCAATTGGATAAATAAAAACATAATATACAGGGCTATTATTTCTAATTAGTGGGTAATGGCTTATTGATGCAAGGAGATATCTGATTCATTCATTGCCTTCGTTTGCATCATGTCACGTATTCATCCGCACATAAAAATGTGGTTAATGGCATTTACTGTCCTGACAGGAAAAGTTGTGCCAAGCAACATTACCGTCCTGACAGGAAAAGTTGTGTCGAGCAGATATCAAGCACATGGAAACCTGGTAATTACTTTTGGGGTCAAAGGCTGGTCATGGCCAATCAAATCCACTGGAGGGTTTGTGCTGAGCAGCAATTATGCACATGGAAACCTGATAATTGCCTTTGGGGACAAAGGCTGGTTACAGCCAATCGGATCCACAGGAGGGGTATTTAAACCTAATTCCCCTCTTGCTCATTGCCCTGTCGTGGTTTCATGCCTATGGTTATCCGAGAGTGCGTTCCTGATCTTGATTTTCTGGTATTTGACTTTGGCTTTGTTTTGACTTCCATGATATCTGGTAGCCTTGACTTTTGGCTTTCACTCATCTTTGTGTCTGATTTTGTGTCCCTGACCTCAACAATTATTTTAACTATTCTTGGAGACGTTAAGTCCGGGCATTCTAAGGTCCAGTTATACGTTATCCTTAGTCCTAGATGTGACACAGTACTGCGTGCTGGATCAACTTGTAATCCTGACATTACGACATGGCCATAGATCCTGCAGAATTGTATCAGCACCAGGGCCGTCTTTAACGCGGGGAAAACGGGGCAGCTGCCCCGGGCCCAGTTTCTCTTTGGGGGCCCGATGCACCTGCCCCGTGGGCCCCGCTGCCCTCATCAATTTATTTTTTTCCCCCGTCCCACCGGGTGGCCCATGCACTTAGGGCAGTGGCGTACATACCAGGGTCGCGGCTGCAACCCTGGTATGCACCCACAGGGCCAGCGTCTTCCCCTGGGGGGCCCAGGAGGCGGCCACCCCAGGGCCCCCCGAGGCTGGCCCTGCTGACACCCGGCGGGCAGGTGGCCGGTCGGGCAGGAAGGCGGGCGCGCGAGGGAGCACTCAGTGCTTCCTCTTCAGCTCCCTCGCGCACCGCACTGATACCGGAGCCGGAAGATGACGTCATCTTCCGGCGCCGGCATCCCTACGCGGCGCGCGAGGGAGCTGAAGAGGAAGCAGTGAGTGCTCCCTCGCGCGCCCGCCTTCCTGCCCGACCGGCCACCCGCCCAGGGTCAGCAGCACCACTGGACCCCAGGGAATCCCCCCAGCACTCCAAAAGGTAAGGAGGCTGGGGGGATTACATTTAAAAAAAAAATGTGTGTTTATGTGTTTGTGTGTTAGTGTATGTGTGTGTTAGTGTATGTGTGTTAGTGTGTGTTGTGTATGTGTGTTAGTGTGTGTTTGTGTGTTAGTGTGTGTTAGTGTATGTGTGTTAGTGTGTGTTTGTGTGTTAGTGTGTGTTAGTGTATGTGTGTTAGTGTGTGTGTTTGTGTGTTAGTGTCTGTGTGTCAGTATGTCTGTCCGTGTGTCAGTATGTCTGTGTGTGTTTTTGTCAGTATGTATGTCTGTCTGTGTGTCAGTATATCTGTGTGTGTGTGTTTCAGTATGTCTGTGTGTGTGTGTCAGTCTGTCTGTGCATGTCAGTATGCCTGTCTGTGTGTGTGTCAGTATGTCTGTGTGTGTGTGTCAGTATGTCTGTCTGTCTGTGTGTCAGTATATATGTGTGTGTGTATATCTGTGTGTGTCAGTATGTGTGTGTCAGTATGTCTGTCAGTGCGTCAGTATGTCTGTTAGTGCATGTGTATGCATGTGTCAGTATATCTGTCTGTGTGCCAGTATGTCTGTGTGTGTGTGTGTCAGTATATCAGTCTGTGTGTGTCAGTGTATGTGCCTGTGTGTGTGTGTCAGTATTTCTCAGTGTATGTGGGTGTCAGTATATCTGTCAGTGTGTGGGTGTCAGTATTTCTGTCAGTGTATGTGTGTCAGTATGTTGATCAGTGTATGTGTCTGTGTGTGTGTGTGTCGGTATGTCTGTATATGTGCCTGTGTCAGTATGTCTGTCAGTACGTCTACCAGTGTATGTGTCTGTGTGTGTGTCAATATATGTACCTGTGTCAGTGTGTCTGTCAGTGTATGTGCCTGTTTATCTGTATGTAGTCAGTGTATGTATCTGTGTATCTGCTTGTGCGTCAGAGTGTGTACCTGTGCATCTGAGCCGCAACTTTAAATACAAATACACCCCTCCATTCAAACTTCAACACTACATATAAAACACACTCCTGCATTGAAACGTCAACACTACATACAAGCACACTCCTACATTCAAAAACAAACACTACACATAAATGCACACTTGCATTCAAACTCCAGTACCACATACAAACACATTCACACAAACATACTCCATACAAACACATGCTTACATTCAAACATACAAACATGGCTCAGTGCTAAATACAACCCTGCAAGCATGGGAAATTGGTAGAGTCCCAGCTGTCAAAGCATTGTTGGAGTTGCACGACAGATGGGGTTCTACCTTTAGTCCAACCTTGCAATTGGGGGTCCCAATAAAATTCATTCTACTTTAGTACCGCCACTGCGTTGGGATGGATGCCGTGATTGCATACCAGGGAGTGAGGGGCGAGAGCGGCAGGGCCCAGGGGGCCCAAGCAAACACTTGCCCAGGGTCCATTCGTTATTAAAGACGGCCCTGATCAGCACATAGCAGCTTGTGAGAGAAAGCTAGAGTAGAGTGATCACTGTATGGATCAATTTGCCCAGGCTTTTAGCACACTCCTTACTAGGACAGCTCATTTACAACCTGAGGCTTTTCCAATTATGTCACCACTGCCTAACGTACCTCCACCTATAGTATATAAGGCACCTATGATCTCCTTATCTCCTCCCCCACATTTTTCTGGTAATATCCAGGAATGTAGTGGATTTCTCAATCAGATTGAGTACCACTTTGAGGCCTCACCTGGTTAATTTCCTTCAGATAGAGCTAAGATTGGGTATCTGATGAACCAACTTAAAGGTAATACTGGAATGGGATAGAGACTGTTAGGAAAGCTGCATGTTACCCATTTCTTAAAAAGTGGGCATCGTTGCTTTACCCGCTGCTACGTCACCGACTCCCAAAATTCCCATACAGTATTGGGAGGTTAGAGAGGCGTTTAGAAAAAGCCAGACTAATGCTCTTCCTCCACACAGATCTTATGTTTGTTCCATTGATCTGTTGCCTGGGGCTATGCCTCCTAAAGGAGAGGTATATGCCCTATCCCCACAAGAAAGTAAAATCGTGGATGAGTACATCAAGGAATCTTTAAGTAAAGGCCGTATACGTAAATCATCCTCACCTGCTGATGCTGTGTTCTTTTTTGTACCTAAGAAAGATGGAGAATTACGACCTTGCATAGACTACAGGGCATTAAACAAGATTACTATAAAAAATGCCTATCCTATTACCCTTATATCCGAATTGTTTGATAAACTCCAGGGTGCTAAAATCTTCACTAAGCTTGACCTTAGGTGTGCGTACAATTTGGTTAGAATTAGGGAGGATCATAAATTGAAGACAGTGTTTAACACTAGGAGTGGGCACTACTAATATCTTGTTATGCCCTTCGGGTTATGTAATGCTCTGGCCGTATTTCAAGACTTCATTGAAATATCATTAATGATGTACTCAGAGACTGTATTTACTCTTTTGTGCTTGTATACCTGGATGATATCCTTATTTATTCTCCCGACATCCAAACTCATCATGATCATGTCAAACAAGTTTTACAAACTTTGCTTAAAAATGGTCACTATTGTAAACTTGAGAAATGCGTATTTGATCAACAAGAGATTCAGTTTTTGGGGTATAACATTTCTGCCTCTGGTTTCCAAATGGATCCTTGCAAACTAGAGGCCATTCTACAATGGCCATTAACCAGTGGGTTAAAAGCCATACAGAGGTTTATTGGTTTTGCTAACCATTACAGGAGATTCAACAAAGCTTTCTCTTCAGTAATAGCCCCCATCACCAATATGACACGCAAGGGGGCTAATTATACTATATGGCCTAAAAAAGCTAAAGAGTCTTCTGAGCTTCTTAAACAAATGTTCACATCTGCTGACATATTAAGACACTAGTAAATCTTTCCTACTTGAGGTTGACACCTCCGAGACAGTGGTCGGGGCTGTTCTTTCTCAGAGAGAGTCAGGATGCCCCTTTGCATCATTGTGGTTACTTCTCCAGAAAGTTGTCTCCTGCCGAGTGTAACTATGACATTGGTAATAGAGAACTGTTAGCCATCATACTAGCACTTAAGGAATGGCGACATCTTTTGGAGGGTTCCAAGGATCCCATTCTGATTATTACTGATCTCAAGAACCTGGCATATATTGGTGATGCCAAACAACTGTCTTCTAGACAAGCTAGGTGGTCATTATTTTTGTCTCGCTTTAACTTCATTCTCACCTACAGACCCGGTTCTAAGAACGTTAAAGCTGACGCTTTGTCTAGGCAATTTGACATTGAATCGGATCTAGAACAAGAGACATCCCCTATTATTTCTCCTGAGTGTATTATTGCATCCACTGTCCTTTCTTTATCGTCCCCTTTGCTCCATGCTATCATGGCGGCTCAGCCCTAGGCACCTTGCAACAAACCTCAATATAAATTGTTTATTCCATTGTGTGACAGGAAAGAGTGCTGAAGGTGTTCCATGACAATGTGACCACTGGGCATCCGGGTATTAATAAAACTGTATCCGCCATTTCTAGGTCATTTTGGTGGGAGTCACACCCTTGTGAGTGACTCCCACCAAAATGACCTGGAAATGGCGGATACAGTTTTAAAGATTATGTAGAAGCCTGCTCTGTCTGTGCAGTTTCAAAGGTTCCTCATAAACTTCCGTGTGGATTGTTACAGCCACTTCCTATACCCAGTATCTCATGGTCTCATTTATTGATGGATTTCATTGTTGAACTGCCTAGTTCCAGTGGGTATACCACCATCCTCATGGTAGTTGACCGTTTTTCCAAAATGGCACACTTTACTCCACTTAATTGCCTTTGGGGTTAAAGGCCGGTTACAGCCAATCGGATCCACAGGAGGGGTATTTAAACCCAATTTCCCTCTTGCTCATTGCCCTGTTGTGGTTTCATGCCTATGGTTATCCGAGAGTGCGTTCCTGATCTTGATTTTATGGTATTTGACTTTGGCTTTGTTTTGACTTCCCTGATATCTGGTATCCTTGACTTTTGACTTTCCCTCATCTTTGTGTCTGATTTTGTGTCCCTCACGTTGGCAAGTATTTTGACTATTCTTGGAGAAGTTAAGTCTGGCCACTCTAAGCTCCGGTTATACGTTAGCCTTAGTCCTAGGTGTGACACAGTACTGCGTGCTGGATCAACTTGTAATCCTGACAGATCAACAGTAAAAACAAATGTGAGAAATGCTGAACTTGATGGACGCAAGTCTCTTTTCAGCTATGTAACTATGTATGTATGCATTTCAAGAAAATGGTTCATCTATGGAAATCGCTTTGGTATGCCAATTCTTCAAGACAGAGATTTCATAGCATTGTTTATTTACACATTCCCATTTCTCCAGCCAGCAAGCCGTTCCTCATCTTCAAAAGTCAGGAGATCTTTGTTACGAGTGCAGAGCACTTCCATTCAGCATGTTGTCAACCCAAAGGTTTTCACAATGATTCTGTCAATCCTAGGGGTTCACTAAAGAAATTAGAAGTATACATTGTCCCTTACTCGAATTGCTGACTAACTAACGAAGGTTAACAAGGAGACAAGAGGAGGAGACAGATACACAGATAGAATCACATACCAAGGATGATCACAGCACTTGAAACAGAAAAGACAAGAACTGCACTCGTCCAAAGGAGCCACTCAAGGTGATAAACGAATCGAGGTTGGCACCTCCATATACATTAGACATTCCAAAGGAAGTCCAGACACACAAGGGCTCAATAATTGGCAGTTTATTGGGTCTTCATGTATAGAAAGAAAAGCAACATTTTGACCTCACAAAGAGGTCTTTGTCAAGCTACCCCCACAATAGGAACAAACTCCTTTTATAGAGAACATTACAGAACACAAATATGTGACACTAATTATTTACTCAATCTACCATCCAAGTTCGATGCCATGCCATGACATTTAGGAACTTAGAAGCACCTGATTGAAAGATCGAAACATCATGATGTAATCAGTGCACCTACCTGCGTAAAAGAATGAGACCCGGCAACGTCATAGCCCCAGTATGGAATATGGTGACGTGAAAAACAAATCTACCCAGCAGGTCTACATATAAAAGAGTCGAATAAAAATAGTAAAAGTAAGGCATCTCAAAGGTATATCTCTATGGCAACGCGTCCGCACAAAGAGAGAGAAAAATATAAAAAATATGGAAAACAATAAATAAATCTTGCAGAGCTTCTTCAACCTAATAAGAGTTGGAAAGATAGGCTAATAAAATACATACCAAGATCATAAAGTTCATCACCATAGCATATACTGTTTTTTTTCAATACCACACTTGACATAGTTACATATACACTGAACAAAATTATAAATGCAACACTTTTTTTTTTTTTTCATTTTTCATGAGCTGAACTGAAAGATCTTTTTCTATGTACGCAATGATTTTGCTATGATTGTTGCAGCAGTTGTCCGGGTGGCTGGTCTCAGACGATCTTGGAGATGAAGATGCTGGATGTGGAGATCTTGGGCTGGTGTGGTTAAACATGGTCTGAGGTTGTGAGGCCGGTTGGATGTACTGCCAAATTCTCTGAAACACCTTTGGAGACGGCTTATGGTAGAGAAATGAACATTCAATTCACAGGCAACAGCTCTGGTGGACATTCCTGCAGTCAGCATGCCAACTGCACGCTCCTTCAAAATGTGCGACATCTGTTGCATTGTGCTGTGTGATAAAACTGCACATTTTAGAGTGGCCTTTTATTGTGGCCAGCCTAAAGCACACCTGTGCGATAAGCATGCTGTCTAATCAGCATCTTGATATGCCACACCTGTTAGGTTGATGGATTATCTCGGTAAAGGAAAAGTGCTCACTAACACAGATTTAAACAGATATGTAAACAATATTTGAGAGAAATAGGCCTTTTGTGTACATAGTAAAAGGTCTTAGATCTTTGAGTTCAGCTCATGAAAAATAGGGGTAAAAACAAAAGTGTTGCGTTTATAATTTTGTTCAGTGTAAATAAATCAACAATATTTAGCAATTCCAAACTTGTAAATAAAACATTTGAAAAAACTTTTTTAATAATAAAAAGAAATAAAACATCAACAGTGAGTAAGCATACTGGCAAATCTAATTCATAACAAGAGAAGGAAAATAAATATGAATAATTATTAATTAGAAGATTTAATACCAAAATTAATTATCCTTATTTCATTGATCAAAATTAAGCAGTAATGTGCATGTAAGGTGTACATGATACATATCAATAGAAAAGGTGATATTAAAATGCTCAAATACTCAACAAAGTAGTTCAATTGTGATATACAAGAGGTATACATAAAACACACACACTAAAAGTAACAGTGTTAAATATTCCACAAAATCTTGGATATGAAACATTTTTTTATCAAGTTTGCTGGTATAGAAAGAGTTTCAATAAACCAGAAGGGTGGGGACTTGGATCTCCTTCTCAGAAGGCGTGAGTGCTACTGGATATATCAGTTGAATATCTTGTCTCCTAATGGTATAACTGAAGGGATTCACATTCACTTAATTTATTGGCTATTAAAGGTGTAATTGTGAAATTATTGTGGGTTTATTTGTAAATAGTGTATATATCTTTTTGCTGTATATTTTGAGACTTCAATGTTCTACCGGCATCCAGCTGTCTATTTGAAATACAGGCTTCCCCATTTTGATACATCCCATGTCAGGGATACGCAACCTGCAGCACTGCCGATGTTTTGGACTACATATCCCATAACGCTATTATACCCATAAAGCTGGCAAAGCATCATGGGAGGTGTAGTCCAAAACACCTGGAGTGCCTAAGGTTGCCTATGCTCGATTAAGTGTAATTATTGCATGGTTATCTATTAGTAGATTATCTGGACAATAGCCCTTTACAGTTTTATTGGGTACTCTGCCTATTAATAATTACTACACAATATATATATATGAATCCTTTTTGCTTTCACTTGGTCTCTAGTTGTATATGTCACTGGAGACATGACACCATTACTTATTGTACGATGGAGCGTCCATCAGATATGTGCTTTAGTTTTGCTGTATATATTTAGGTGTAATTATATTGTTTTTCAGCGCCCGAATTACTACTGGCTTTCTGTTTAGGCTCTTTGTTTGGTTTATTCCAGTCCTAATTTTGAGCAATAGGATCACCTGCTCTATATATATTTTTTCTAAAGTAGTTTGAGCAGTTTATAAACAGACCATAAAATATAAAAATGATCTAGATCATTTGCTTTATGACTTTCGTTTGGGGAACAGCTTTGTGTGTTCTCATACACACAATAAAAGTGGATCCAGTAATCCATACTGTTGTGTATGCCTTGGAGGTTTATTTTGGATGTATACGTTTGTATTGTGTCTCCCCTTTGAACATTCAAGGGGCTGTTCATGCAAATCACTATTCGCCTATGCCTTATGAAGGGTTTCTCATTTCAGCACATCACGGCACGAAAGGGATGGCCTTTTGGGTCTTTCTTCTCCCTATCTTATATATTTACCAATAGTAGGCGTTCGGGGTGGAGTTCATTTGTCTGACTAAGTGCCTGGTGCCCTGCTCGCAAGTGATTGCTAGTCAACATTTATTTATTCCCCGTATATGGTTTCTAATTTTTGCAAATCGCAGCATGAATGGGTTTGGATTTCAGGTCTTTCTCTTCCCTGGCTTTGATTAACCAATTTTTAGACATTCGGGGCGGAGTGTACATTCGTGGCTGTTGCCATGTTTCCATATGGGGTTAATCTCCTCCTTTGGAGGCTGTGATTGGTGGACTGTGATATCTACCGGGTAGGATTGTATATTTAGAGGCACATATAATTTTTGTTTTTTTGCCCCAGACGAAGGTGCATTTTTGACGCTGAAATGCATGTCGGGAAACTAGCTTTCCACTCATGTCTTTGTTTCACTTTTATTTGGAGCCCAATATGTAAAGTTCTCACTGTATTTTTCTGCTGATAGGGAGGGGGATGTAGGAATTCAGGGCTATCTATACAATACACAATATACATGCCATTCTATACACTTGTCTTAGCATGCTGCTCTATCAGTCTATAGTTACTTTGTGTTTAGAGTGGGGTTGATCTTCTAACCCTGCAGATTCCTTACCATACTTGGCTTATTACGTTGTATAATTGTACTCAGCTACTTTGTGTTTTTAGCCATACACAGGCTTATAGCCGTGTCTATCAAAACCAGCCAATTTGTTGCCATTCTCACCTGGTACATCACCAGTAGAGCTGTCCAACAACATTGTGTTTAAATTATTAATTTGATCTTTTGAGAACAAATTCTCTGGGGGTAACCTTACATTAGACCCTCAGGAATTGCTCATTTTGTGAACTGGCACTTGGGCTTTGTTGTACTATGGCTATTACTTTAGGCAAGTGTTGCCTGTCCCTATCTTGCATTTTAGTCTAAATACTTTTAATGTGTATTTTTCAATTTCTCATTTTTTGTCTTTTGATAATTTAAACAATAAAGATTTTCTTATTTTACTTTTATATTGTTTTGTGAGGGACCTCCTATTTCTGTAGTTCCTGTGGGTTACCCCCACTAGAGAAACACATGCTATTTAGTTTCCTTGTGGAACCTTTGTATCATTTAACTCCATATTAATGCTGATAGTTTTAGAATGAGATGTCCAATAAGCACGTAGTGTATTTTCAACTTGTGTGTTTTGTTAAAATTATTTGACTTTTTTTTGGAAAATTAAGATATGACTTTCCTAATCACTTTTTATGAAGATTATGCTTCATGTTTCTCAGTCTCAATGGTACATTTTTAATTTATTTTTTTTTAATTTTTCAGAGTCTCCCAATTCCTCATGTATTCGCCTGGTGTTTCCAACTCTGAGCATTCTTGTATTTGGCGTTGCTGTTGCTGTTCTTCTTTATCACTTTTGGAAGAAAAAGAAGGCTAAAAGGTATCATACTTAAAATAAACATAATTTGTGTTTTATATACGAAAACAAGAATCTATGTGTAAAATTAACTTAATTGGTTTCCATACCTAACAAATAAAATGTGTCTGTCTATCTGGACTAGTGGTTCCCAATCCTAAAGACCCACCAACAGTCCAGCTAATGTATTATAACAGTGAGCAGCCACTGACTGCTTACTGTTTAGTGGACATGCCCCAACTTTGGAAATCATATTGAACCACATTTTATTTAAAGGACCACTATAGGCACCCAGACCACTTCAGCTTAATGAAGTGGTCTTGGTGCCTGGTCCATCTAGGGTTAACCTGCTATATTTACCTATGGGTTAATCCAGCCTCTAGTGGCTGTCTCATTGACAGCCGCTAGAGGGCTTCCGCGCTTATCGCTGTGATTTTCACAGTGAGAAGACGCTTGCGTCCATAGGAAAGCATTGTGAATGCTTTCCTATGGACTGGCTGAATGCGCGCGCGGCTCCTGCGCATTCAGCCGAAGACGAGGAGAGGAGGCGGAGAGGAGGAGGAGAGCTCCCCGCCCGGCGCTGGAGAAAGAGGTAAGTTTAACCTCTTCCTCCACCTAGAGCCCGGCGGGAGGGGGTCCGTGAGGGTGGGGGCATCCTCAGGGCATTGTAGTGCCAGGAAAACGAGTATGTTTTCCTGGCACTATAGTGGTCCTTTAAGTATTTGCTTGCGGATTGCTAGTGTGAGCACCAATTAGATTAGCACAATCTGTACACAATCAACCTATAGATTTATAAATGTTAAATAAGAACACCTAATTAAATATTCAAATTCTGTTGACTGTTTATCATGCCACCCAATAACTACATGAGACAATTTAAATGATGCATGGGTTAGGACTTCATAACGTGGACAGAACCATTTGCAAACTGCTTAATTAAACCCAGCTGTCAATTGCAGGACATGCATTAAGCGTGCATAGAGGGTGTGTTGGAAGTGCCCGGGCACATCATAATGCAAGATCAAATTGCATATCCCCTCTTTAGGTGTATACGGGCATTATTTATTATTATTGTTTAGGTTAGCATGCTATGTTTTTGAAGAGAAAATATGACTATTTATGTGGATATCTTGTTATTGGAACAAAAAATTTATATTTTGCACCCCATTTTTCATTGGTATATTTTTTTTAAATAATTCTATAGAAAACACAAAAATTAATTTCTTACTCTATAGTGTTTCCACACATATGTGGGCGCACCCCAACATCCTGCAGGGGTTTAAAAGGTAAGCTTTACTTATTTTTACATTTCAAAGTGCACTACTGTCTGAGCTACTGATTCATCTCCCTGGCTAATCTTAGCCAATCAAATGCTTCCCTAAAACGACCCACTGCACCAATCAAATTCTCTCTAGGAGAGTAATTTGAGTTACAAAAGAGTTTAACTCGGTTACAGCTGAAGAAGCAACTCTAGTGGCTGTTTTTCTGCAAAAACGCAATGTTTTCAGTTGCAGGGTTAAACAGACAAGGGCATGGCACCCAGACCACTTCCATGAGATCGTGGTCTGGGTGCCTAAATAATCCATATAAATAAGATTCCAATAGTAATATTGTCTGGGTGCACACCCTACGTCTGGGTGCACACCCTACATACAGTATTGTCGTAGTTTGACTTGAATGCCTCCATCGGGCTAATGAGAACCCTCTTTCCAAGGTTTGTATACAAAGTTTCCATACTGTGTAATGTTTGCTGTAATCAGTTGGTGTTTGTGAAGAGAACTAGCATAGATGAGTAATTATTATAGCAGGGCGGGAAAGCCCCCTCCAAGTAACAAGCTCTCTCTGACACCTGCTGAGCTGCACACCGGCAAGCCTGGACCAAGAGCGTCACAAGCATCTTACCTCTCTGATGCATTCTCAGGTATGGAGACACAACTGCCGAAAGTGACAACCTCTTGCTGACCCGCATGCTGTCTCTGGAGGGAGAAGATACAAATAAGTGAGGGCCCCATTCATAGGGCCATGTGCGCGGTTAGTCAAAACTGATCAGGGTGATTTTAATATATGTTGGTCCCCCAGATCGGGGCTATCAGAGGATTTAACTTTTGTGGGGTTTCTATGTATTGTGGAGGTACTTTTGGGATGTTGTTAAAATATATGTTTTCTGTGCCTAGAGATAATTGAGTTTAGTACAGTTTCTGACTCAATTATCTCCAAGGCACAGGGGAGGGATTACCTTGTTTTGTGTGGGAGTGTCCATTGGGGAATGTTTGGCTTATGTTAGAGTAAACCCCTTGCATGGGGACTTGCAAATAAGGCCAGCATTTCCTCTTCACCCTCAGCATAGAGCCTTGCCTCATGTGTGGAGAGGACAGCTTTATTCATTCTGGGGATTGCTATAATCACTATACTCCCTTGGATTAAAACACTAGCTCTATAACTATCCTGCTATACTCTCTGGAGTCGGAGAGGTCTACCCACTGGAAGCTGGATCTCTGACTTGGGTCCAGGGTGGGTGGAGGACTTCAAGACCCCAGCCAAGCTGCGGCAGCTGTGGGGTTTATGGTGGTTATGATGTCTGGTGTGGTGCTTATGGTACTCAAGGATTGCTAGGAAGCAGCGATTGGCGGAATCACCTGGTCGGGGTGCCAGGCGGTTCGTCACAGTGTTATGGGGCTGAGGATAAGCCACAAAGATAGACTGGCTTACTTGATCATCCTTCAGTGGGGTTACTTTATCCTGAATACATGATTTGCTGCAGCAGCCTTACATTATGAAGATGCTGCTTTGTAAGTTCTCAACCTGGGCAAGCTAAAGTGAGCTAAGCACATGGTACCATACACATTATAGAATTAAATAGGGATTTTAATTCTTTTTCTCCATTTAGGGAAAGCACTGACCTGATAGCAATGCACTCTAACACCTCAGAAGAAGATAAAGGCAGTGGCTGTTCCAAACCCAATCTTGGTAAGAGGCACTAATCGTTTACATATATACATACATACACACACATGGGATACACATACACACACATTATACACACACACACACACACACACACACACACACATCTACACATGCACAACTCTTTTATTATCATCATTTGCCTATCCCCATTAATCTCTACTAGTGGACTTCTTCCCATTTGCCTCCTTGTATCTCTCCCCATAGTGCCTTTTTCCATAACACTTATGTCCTTTTATCCTGATTCTCTGCCCCACCTTTTGTTCTTTTCTTTATATCCCCCCCACCTTCTGTCTCTTTCCTTATATTATTCCCCCATACCCTCACTTTTCCCTATATTCTGTCCCCTCTCTCTCTCTTCTCTCTGTCTCTGTTTCTCTCTCCATATTCTTCCCACTACAACTTCAATTTTCTGCCCCCCCTCTCAGTATTCTTCCCTGTCTGTCCATTTTCCCAATTAGATATGTATTTACCCCAAACCATTAGCGTGACTAAGCAGCATGGGACTTAGTCTTCAAGCTGTCATTTCCCATCACTATCCAGATGTGCCGCCGAGAGCTGTGAGGAGGAGGTGGTGATAGAGTCTAGTTACATCAGTTCTCTTAACTTACAAATGATAGCCCAGCTTACTGATGGCTCTCCAGTCCCATGGTGCTTAGTGACTGCACAGTGTATACAGCTACAAGCTACATAATGTAAAAGTAACCTGACCTGGGTACCTGTCCTGCATGGTGGGATTGGCGGGGTTGGCGGAGTTTGCTTTACTTTCCTTAACCACCCCTGTATAAAGGTAAGAAAACACATGCAAATTCTAATAAAACGTCAAACTCTAAATATCTATTTAGCCTCTCTAATACACAATAGACTTATAAGTATACCCAAATTAGTTATGCAACACAATAATGTCCATTTCCTTAACAGTTAACTTGTCAGTTTTATTTGATATAAATTAAGTTGACTCTACAAGCATGTGAAAACTTAAACTTTTACGTTATTACATCAGCATCCAAGGAATTGATCTTTGACTGCCAGAAGAGCCATATACACTTCATATATATAATATATTTAGTATTTAGTATTGTGCTTTCTTTACATATATAATATTCAAGCAACAGCTTGCCAAACTGCTCAAATGTGGTTTGACAAAAAAAACTGGGGGTGTGGAACGTAAAGTCATAAAATGTTTCAGCGGTTATGGTGCTTGGAGAAAACACTATATAACTAGTTATATCAGAGTTTGAAATTTACCCCTTACTTCTCCTACACGTGCAGGCAACCAATCCACCTCCACCATAAGGGTGGAGATAAAATAATTCAACATATGTGATGAGAGGTAGTTTATATGGCTGCTTTGAATGGCCTGCAATTCATGCATACTAATTATAATGCTCTGTAGGCTCTGTTACAGGGCTATGAAATGTTAGGTTTAGAAGATTGCTAGGTCCTCTCAAGGTATTGTGTTCTGTTCTGTAATGCTCCTGTTTGAAATTTTTTTTCCCCACTTTTGCATTTTATACAGAACCTGCATTGGAGAACGACTGGTCCACCGTTCGTGTTTATACTTAGAAGACTTTAGAGCCTCACAGCACTCAACACAATGTTACTTCACTAAATAAATGCAACAACTTATTTGTTTCAATACAGTCATCTGATTTCCACAGTGATTTGCTGACGTGTAAAACCATGTTCTCTTATTACAAGATACTACATGATGTACCTGGTATTTTCTATTCCCGTACTGCACTCATGGTGATATCTTCTGTGCATTATTGCTAATGGGGGTGAATAATGTATTTTTCACCATTATAAAGTACTAGGTTTCTAATGTCATGTAGTACAAAAACAAACATTTTCCATATAGATAATGGCAGTACTACAGCAGGGATTTTGCTTCCGTTATGTTTCCTCTACAGGCAGCACGTCAGAAACATTTAATAAATCCGATTTGTACCACCCCAAACTCGACCTCTTAGGGTATAAGAACAGTACCAAACATATGAATGCCAGTTTTCTGCATGTCATCTCAGCGAACAGCTTCTAGGTAGCATTTTGGAGGGCATTGTTGGTGCCATAAATTAAATTCAACACCACCAGTGCCATCACCTGTTCACCCTGTATACTGGAGAGACGTTTTTAAAGTAGGAAAGTATGTTTTTCTTTACTTTAAAAGCTTCTTTGGGGATTCTTGTGACCAAGTTAGTTAAGTACTACTTTTCTGGTATTGTCCCCAAGATGTCAAACACACCTGAGGTTCAAGAATCCCCTGTGAAACCTGAGAGATCTAAAGCTGTTTCAAAAACAAAACACCATTATTGCTCTTTGTGTAGCATTTCTTTGCCGGATGGGTGTAAAACAAACTTTGTAATACATATGTAAAATAAGCTGCAGAGACAGCTGTACAAACAGAAATATCTTCTATTTTTAGCTGGTTCCAGCAAACTTTAAAACAGACATTTCAGGATATTAAAGCGGCACTGTCATGCCGAACTTACCTTTCCCCAATTAATTTCTCTTCTCTCCCTCTCTCAGGATCTGTTCTTCATTTCTTCTTGTCTGCTCTAATTTTCTTTAAAACATTAGTAGGAACTACTTTGTCTTATGTATTTTTCCTACGCTTGACCCAGGGTAGGAGCTTAAGTCCGCTCCATTTCCTGTGGTCAAATACATTTTCCCACAATACTCACTTCTCCGTGATCTCTAGTTGCTTCATTCGCCATTCGAACGCTGGGGTAACTACCGAATTTCGTCCTAACAAAACAAGTATAGTTTGTCCATTCTTGTTAGGATGAAATTCAGCATTTTGTTCCGTTCGAAATTTCATCTGCATTAATGAAATTTCGATCCAGTTACTGCCACGGCTGCATCTTGCAACCACTTAGTAGATAACTCTATAATTCCCACGGTAATCTATGGTATTAGTGAGCCATCTACTAAAAGGCTGAAATGCCAAAATCGGTCTTTTAGCCATCTTTACTAATAGTTACAAGTTGAAATATAATCTTATTTGTGTATTTCTGAATCACTTTGTTAAGGGGATTTGGGTATAAACAGGTTAATTTGAGCATGAACTGTAATTTTAAATTTCACACAATTGTACTGATGACATATTTGCAATTAGTTTAGTGAATACAAGGTCAGTCAGCACTGAGAATCCTTTCTAGGTGCACCTGTTACAACGTGACAAGGTGAGACCGTTACAACTTGTTTTGGTGAGCTTTGTTTGTTGTTTTATAAATAATACGTCAATTCAGATAATAAAGGAACATGGCAAAGTTGTTATGGTCTTAGGAACACAATCTAAGTGTTCTGCACTGGACTATGCGTCTATCACTGTATTATTGGCAGCTATAGCAGGAAGACCTGCAATATGAGAGGGAGGCCTCTCTCTCTCATTTGATGAGAGACCAAACAGAGGTAACCTCTTTGCTGAGGTCAACTTACACCAGCTGAGGGAAAAGCTCTGCATTAGGGTTGGTATAGGGTAATGTAAGGCTTGGTAAAGGGTTTGGGTTAGAGTTGGTGTAGGGAAGGGTTAGTGTTGATGTTAGGGTTTGTACTAGGGTTGCTTGAAACGAGTTGAAATCCTAGACATATTAGGTATTTAACTGTTAGTATTAGTAAGTGAATCTATTTTGAGATTATTTTTCTTTAGTTCTTTTTATGATGAAGAAATTATTATAAACAAAACCTTTTACCTTTTTTATACTGAAATTATTTATAAATATTGTATTTACTCCCCTTATTTGAAATGACTGTCATCATCACTCTAGTTTTTTAAAACACTAAGCAAAATTACTAATTTTCCTTGTGTAGAGCAGTCAGGTTGGCAAAATTGACCATAGGAGGAGCTAAAGCAAGTTTATGTTCCAGCTGCCAATCAAAGTTTCCCACAATCCATCAGTAAAATCAATCCTGCAGAACGGTACACAGTAGACATTATGGCAGAGGAGAACCATATGGCTGCTCCCAGATACTGAGATCCACCACAAAGAGAGATGATAATTTTTAAAATAAAGGCAAGTGGCAAGGAAGTGAGTATAATAAATAAAATACAAAGGACATAAGAAGAAAACATGAACACTTTAAGGAACACTTACTCTAGGAGGGTGTTTTATATAAAATTTATATTAAAGAATTAGCAATTGACATCACAAGTCAGAAAAAATCCAGCCAGGACACATGTTGTGTTGGAGGAGAAAAAGAAAAAAGGGGGACATTTGCCAAAGTGCTCTGTTTTAAAAAGTGATGCAAACATATTCTCAAGCCGGAAGAGATCTAAATGCAATAATGGGAGATGAACTTGCAGGAAGTCCATGAAGGGTAACTTGGGAGGACATCAGTATGCAGCAGCACTGGTATCTATTTCTGTGACTCTCTAAGAATACATATTTAAGATTATACTTAGATGTATTCAAGCCTGATTAAACTATTTAGGATTGGCAAAATGTCAGATGTCTCTACTGGAGGGGATGTGGACATATGGAGACCCACCATCATGGGTGGTAGAGTTGCCGGTTGTTAAACCTGTGTAACGGATACGAGATTTTGTAGGGAAGGTCTTTTTTGCTATCACAGCTTACATTGGAATTTTCCCGACATTCTTAAAAAAATCTATGTTAAAATCATTCTTGCAGCTAGACGAACATTAGTTGCAAACTGGCTGAAACTCCGAATCGTTCTCCATTACTTCAGTGTCTTTCTTCCTCTGCCCTTTTCTTTTTCACATATTATTTTAAATGTATTTTTTGTTTTCTTTCTTTTACTTTTACCTTTTGTTTCAGTATGTTGTGAAAATTGACAGGATTTTTTAACTGTTTATCAGTATATCAGAGCTTTTGACAGTAAGTTAGCCAAGATGGAATCACTCATTCCCAGAATGGAGCTAAGAACAGCAGTGCGGTTTTCTACATTTCATTTTATTTTGTTATGTCATTATCATAAACATTCTGGGAAGTGACATCACCCATGTAAAAGCCTTTGTAACACAATTTAGTTTTTTGATTGCTTTTAAGAAAAATAGCCAATAGCAATAGAGAATAGTATAGTTAGTGTACTCAAATGATACGCACGTGCTTAACTAATTTATTGTGATTTTGAAGTATTGTGACTCTTAAGATTATTAACCAATTGTTCCTATACACGTTCCTGTGTGCTAATATATTGTGATGATTGATGCATTTGCTTTAATTGAAATAAAAGTTATTGCATTTTTTTGTGTTAAATTCTGTTTTTGTATTTCATTTATTAAGATCAAACACTTTGACACGTTGGTTCATGTGGCTCCTCCTTGCTGTTTGACAAATACTAACAAACAGTGAATTTCAGTTTTAATGTTTAAAAGTTAAAATTTTTGTGTTTTTTTTTTTAATCCTAGTTACCAGAGTAACTAGGATAAAAAAAACACAAAAATAAAATAATACCCAGTGATGTATATTGCCCTTGTCTGTTTTTTTTTTTTCTTGGTCACTTAATTATGTTATCTCTTTAGTGTATTGGTGGGATTCCCACCAATGTTGGAACAGGTACAAAAGAAAAAGTCGTGAACCACCCTCCCAAACAGTGCAAGAGCTGGCCTGAAAAGGAGCACATACTGGGCAAATAGAACTGAAGGAAAAGGCTTCCTGAAACAGCGCAACACTGCAGTTGGGTCCTGCCGACTGGGATAGCAGTAGATAAATGTTTTCCATCCTTAGAGGCTTGTTCTATAATGCTTGCCATGTTCATTGCTTTTTTAAATGTTAAATCTTTTCATATAAGCAGTCTCCTTAGCTGCATCACTTGCAATGCCCATTACAAACTGGTCTCGCAGGGCAGTGGGCAGGTAGTCCCCAAAACAGCAGGTGCTGGCGAGTTTCCTTAACGCAATGGCATATGCTGAAACTGATTCACCAGGCTCTTGTCTTCTTTTATAGAATTTTAATCTCTCTGCTATCTCTAGTGGTTTTGGTTGGAAATGGCCAGTTAACAGAGTAATCGGGCTTGCCAATGGCTTGCTGGCAGGTTTCTCTGGGTGTAAGAGGCTCCTTAGCATTTCATACGTTCTGGCTCCTATAACTGTTAGAAAAACAGCGACCTGTTTATTGTCAGGAATGTCATTAGCTGTGAAATATTGTTCAAGCCTTTCAACCCAAGAGGCCCATAAATCCGAGTCAGGATCAAAGTCCTTTGTAATGCCAATGGCTGCCATGTCAGTTAGGGTTCTACAGCCTCGTCACCACTGTGATGTTTTGTACAAATCAGCCAATAATTCCCGTATAACGAAATACTCACTTTGTTGTTACACAGGGTTTCTGCAGCCGCCATTTCAAATTCATAGAACAAATGCAAACAGGAAGTAAAGAACCAAAAGAAAGGAAGTGCATCATTCACAGCCAACAACAGCCCAACTGCCCATACATCACAATACATACACTCACACACTCACACACAGCCCAACTGCCCATACATCACAATACATACACTCACACACAGCCCAACTGCCCATACATCACAATACATACACTCACACACTCATACACAGCCCAACAGTCCATACATCACAATACATACACTCACACACTCATACACAGCCCAACTGCCCATACATCACAATACATACACTCACACACTCATACACAGCCCAACAGTCCATACATCACAATACATACACTCACACACAGCCAACAGCCCATACATCACAATACATACACTCACACACTCATACACAGCCCAACAGTCCATACATCACAATACATACACTCACACACAGCCAACTGCCCGTACATCACAATATATACACTCATACACAGCCCAACAGTCCATAAATCACAATCTGTGTATTAAGGTGCGTGTATCTGTGTGTCAGTGTATCTGCCAGTGTGTGTGTATCTGTGTGCTAGTGTTTATGTGCAAGGTGTGTCTATCTGTATGTCAGTGTGTGCATGTGCCAGTGTGTATATCTGAGTTTGTATCTGTGTGTCGATATGTGTATCTGTGTGTCAGTGTGCTTCATTGTGTGTATCTGTGTGTACAAGTGTCAGTGTGTATCTGAGTTTGTGTGTGTGTGTGTGCCATTGTGAGTATCCGAATGCCAGTTTGTATATCTGTGTGTGTATGTGCCAATGTGTGTGTAGCGGGACGACTTCCGAGTATCCTGTTCCCAGACAGAGACGACACTCAACCCTGGGAGCTCTTAGTCCTTACCAGGACTTTTCCCCTATTTACATCCCCTGCAAGCTGGAACAGCAGACACAGGGGTTAAATCTTCCTTCCCTCCAGTAAAAGGACGACACACAATTTGGAGGTTTAAACACTGGCATATCACTAGGCTGAGTTACACTCTCTATTGAATAAATGCTTCTTTTATGCACAGACCCCCGCAGAGAGTCTCCATTCTATACAATACTCTTCCCTTAGTCCCAGCAGGAGGGGGCTGGTTTACAGATAGCAATCTCCCGCTTTAGGAGATACCAAACAGTACACAGGGATACACTTTACATCACATTACATACGGGGACCTACATGGCTAGATAGCACCGGGTCACATCTGGGATCCCTGCAAAAGGCGGGGCGATCGGATGTACAGAGCCAGAGATATCAGCGTTGAAAGTCTGGGGCTCGGAGCTCTGTACATCCCCGAAATTAGTTCCATGGTGTTGCTTGGTTTAGTCCGGTGAACCAAATCGCACCAATCAGCGTTCAGGGGAGGAAGGAGTTTTGCTGCCCAATCCCAAGGAAGGGCACGAAACACGGCTGCACCAATCGGTGCTCGGGGAGGGAGGGTTTTATATAGAAATTTACCAGTAGCTGCTGCATTTCCCACCCTAGTTTTATACTCGAGTCAATACGTTTTCCCAGTTTTTTGGGGGTAAAATTAGGGGTCTCGACTTATATTCGGGTCGACTTGTACTCGAGTGTATACGGTAATAGAATAATACCATAAACTTTGAATAAAATTGGTGCTAAAATGGTTGTATAATAGGGGTCAAAATATACCATATAACCCCTGGTCACCACATACCTGGTGGTGTCTAATTTCACAAATGATATTCATTTATGTAATCTGAAGTGTCAAACTGCTAAAATGCCCCAAAATGCAGAATACGCTCATCAAAGTCATCAGTCAAAATTCTAATTGTAAAAACTGAAATATTCAGGTCTTTTACATGGCACTGTAATATCGCAAGATATTGTTTTATTCACAAGAATTTGCTTAGATCACTCCTAGAGTGAGTGGCACATATTGGATTTGCTAAATGCCCAGCAAAAATATAATGTGGATCTATAAAATGCAAAAAACTAAACAGTTTGGCCCAAAGAAGACCGAAAACAATCATCTGGGTTTGCTGTGCCTCTTGTGCAGAGCAAATGTGACGGCATATCGGTTCTGGACTGCCATTATGGGTGGGATAAATCTGATATGCAAAGGAATAGATTCTCTCTGTAATGGCACAAGTGAACAATAACTACTTTGAGACCGGGGATTTACTGAAGGGCAAGCTATTGAGTTCTCATATTCTCTGTTTTTGTTGCAATCCATTCACTTGGCTCTCCCCAAGTTAAAAGGATAATCCAGATGTGGACAACGTGCTCACTGTGCCTAGAGGGATATCAGCTACACCTCTCTTTTGAGGTCCAAAGAAGGTAGAAAGAAGCATTCATCAAGGCTTGCTGTATCTCTCGATTGTGAAAGGGGTCATTTTGTGCTCAAGTACCTTCAAGTACATTCTGTAATCAAGTACATACCTGAGCACAATTTAGTTTTTTTTTTTTATTACAGTGGCATGTGTACAAAATTAATCATCAGGCCAAAATCTGGTGAAAATGAGCAAATTCTGAGCAATTTGCAAATTTCCTAAAACCAAACGCGATCTGGTTAAAGTTGATTTATTTTAAATAATGAATGATATAAAATAAGCATTTTTAATCAAAATTGTACAGCATGACATGTTTTGTGTTGTCATGGCAATCCCACAATCAAAAACTGATCATTGTACTAATCCCCCGGCTTCCAAATTTACCTGGAGATGGTGAGCAGCCATACTTTGTTACAGACTCAGCTGTCGATGCACCAGTTATTTATGTTGATACATTTTGATTGAGTTTTGAGAGTGATAACAATATCAGTTTTAATAAAAACTAAGGGAAACAGTACATCTAACTTTTGGCAATAATGATTTAGAGCAACAACGAAGCCATAGGACAGGATAAAAAAAAAAAAAGAATATTCAATTAATAAGTTGGTTATCAACCTATAATACAAAGGAAGATCAATTGGCTAACCCATAGTTACCAAACAGCAAAACAAATAAATAATCACACCATTACCTTCCATCTCAAGGAAAACATACTCTCATCCCAACAGTTATGACTTAACCAATATGATTTAGAAAACATTCAACCACACTCCCCCATGTGAGCAACGGAGTGTTATACTTGGGTTTACAGTTACAAGGTTCTATTGTAAATACCACGTATTGAAAAGTTTGTTTAATTATATTTTATTGTTTCAAAGTCCGTTTCCAGAAAACTTGTAAAAGGTTGCCAAATTTGGAAGTATTATTTTGTTAGCTTCTCTAGGTAATCCAGCCAATCCATGTGACAGTCATGGTAGGGCATGCAACAGTTTATATCGATCTTCGGGGGTTATCTCATGCAGCAGCAATTATTTCCATGTGTGAATATTTTTCTAGATTTCTAGTCCGAGATGTGTGATCTGATGTTTGATTGTTCTCTCCATTTCTCTTATTTTTGAGAGTTTTTAAAATTTATTTTTATTTTGTATTTTTGTAGTGCATGAGAGTTGAACAAACATGCTTGAAGTACCCTAATGGCATTCCTCAGGCTTAGTATCATGTTTTACATCAAGGTAATAGATAAGTCGTGCACAATTATATAATATTTTAAACAAGAGTGATAGTCAGAAGAGATACAAGAAGTAAGAGTATTTGAATACAAGCTTGATCGACTGATTATATAGCAGGAAAATGCATAGATAAACGATTAACAAACATGCAAAAGCAACTTATGTGTACCACTGGATGCTGCGATAGAGTCGTTTGCTCAGACAAGGAGTAATACAACTCTGTGGTGCCAAGCAGCTAAGGTGTCCTTTAGGAGCTTTCAGCCCACACCAGACAGAGGCCTTGATGGAGAGTCTTTCTCTGAGGTGAATGTAGCCATTGGTAGGATGGCGAGGCAGTGTCCTGGGATGGCTTCCCTCCAGCCCTGGACCTGTGTAGGGGTCAACACCACTGAGCCTCTGTGAGTCCAAGTTGTAGTGAAAGCAGCCTCGCCACTGGTTTGTGGAGGGGACTGATTGCCAGCCTCGTGCCTTGGGACTATGGCCCCCTGGGAGGTTGGGCACTTTAAAACCAGAATTGGAGCTTATGGATTTTTATTGGACCGTGCTGACCCTTTAAGAACCGTCTGGGGACATATTGCGACTTTTGGGAACAATGCCCCTTTAAGATTATGTCCCTAGACCTTTAAAATACTTTGCTCATGGTTTTCTCCCACTTGGTTCAGTAAATGGGGCTTACTGAACCAAGTACCTCACAGGCAGACCACCCAGAACTGGAAGTGTGCAGGCAATTTACCTTCCAGGCTGGGAGCCTGCTGTAGGTAAATTGCTGACCACTGGGAGGCCGCCGTCTGGTGGCGGCCATCTTTTTTCAACCGAACGCAGTCAGAGGTATGTTTAGCCAAATTCATGGAACTGAAATTGGCTACACAGTTCCACGAACACCACTGACCCTTACTTTCTCTTCTGCAGATACTAAGTACAGTTCGGCGATGGGACTTGGTCATTTTTTCAGTGTGAAATAGACCGACCGCACAGCCCAAATCTCTGGAACTGTTTTGGGCATGAAAACATGCTTGCGGTCGGTCATAGCTACCTTTTTAACCCCTGGAAGGAATCACCTGAATTTTGGATATGTTTATAGTTGAAGTGTGCTGAATAATATGTTTTTATGAATATTGAATGTAAAGTTTTTGTCATGATTCTGGAACCTAACACGCTAACAGGTCACAGAGAGGAAGGGTGCTATACCGGTCCTTAGAGTACACGAAGAATGGTCAGGAGACAAGCCAAGTAAAGGGAGCCAGAAAACGGGAGAACGAGAAACAAGCCGAGGTCAAAGGAGTGGAGAAGACAGGATAATAGGAATAACGAGCCAAATAATTGGTAACCAGAGAGAAACACGAGCAAACTGCAATACAGGTATCACAAGACCACAACAGGGCACTGAGAGACAGGAAAGGTAAGTATAAATACCCTTAGTTTAATTCTGATTGGATAACTTCCAATCAGAATTAACAATCACACGTGGGAGATATCTACGCCTCCCACTGTGATTGTGGTACTGTTGCTTTAACGCCGGGTCACTCACGTGACCCCGGCGTTTGCATAAATTAGCGACATGCCAGCATGCAGCGTTATACATGCTGCCGCTGGGAGGCGTGGAGGACGCAAGTGGCGAGCGGCGGAGAGGAGACGCCGCTCGATGACAGGTAGGAAGAGGGGAGACCGCAGGCGACGGACTGAGGGTGAGTGCTGCAAGTGGCGTGCAGCCTCCCCTCACAGCCGCCCGCGGACCCCTGACAGTTTTAAAGTTATAGTACATGTGTAAAAACTGTATTTCTCTGCCTGTGATAATTACATTAACCCATTGTGTTCAG